TGTTACGATTAGGAGGAAGACTGAAACATGCAAAATTAGAAACTGGAGAAAAGATGCCTCTCTTCATACCTTTCACTTCTATTTAATGATGAAAATGTTCAGGGATATCTGTCTAAAAAACAAATTGTCTGGACATTCAATCCACCCCATGCCTCACACATAAATGGTGCATGGGAACGCATGATTGGACTGGCAAGAAGAATTCTTGATTCAATGCCAACGGACATTCAAGGAAAGCAACTTACTCATGAAGTTTTATGCACATTAATGACAGAAGTTTGTTGTATCGTCAATAGTAGACCGATAATTGCTGTGTCAAGTGATCCTGAATCGCCTACTATTTTGTCACCAAACACTCTTTTGACACAGAAAATTAATAGTGATATAGACCCGTATAATTTCGATTTTCTGTGAAGGATATGTACAAATCGCAATGGAAACATGTACAAGTTTTAGCGAATCAATTTTAAAAAAGCAATGGAACCTACAATACTTGCATAACCTCCAAACTCGATCAAAATGGCCAATTGAAAATCGCAACTTACAAATTGGTGACATTGTGCTCATGATTGACGTTAGTTTACCACGCAATCAGTGGCCAACCGGAATTATCGATGAAGTATTTCCTAGTAAAGACGGATTAGTGCGCAAAGTATCAGTCCGTGTGATAAAAAATGGGGAACCAGTAAATTATACCCGTCCAATAACACAGCTTGTACATTTGATGTCATATTGAATTTTACATTTAGATATGACAATTGTATTATAAGGGTTAATTTGAGTACTTTGATTTATTTGTCTTAAAGTTTGTTAAAACATGCCTTTATTGCTTAATTTTTCTTATTTTTTAGGGTTTAGTTTTTGAAAAAAGTGATTTTACTTATATGTAAAATCAGGCGGGGAATGTTCTGTCACATTTATTTAGTAGAGTTATCTACCTTTCCCCACATTTCATTTTTGGTTAATTTTCGGTATGTTTCACTCCCCTAGATTACATGAATCGATAATACCCGAGTAGATAGAAAGGAAAATGGCACATGGCCCGCAAAGCAATTTTGGGAATAATTCAATTATTGGAAATCTAGTGGTCCCCCACAGAGTAAGTTTTATTACCTGCCTGATATAATCATTTATTTGTATGTAGATAAGTTTTGTGCTATAGATTCTTATTATGAAGGTTTTGTGCCAATTCATAAGCCACTTGGTTGTCTGCATTTTTTTTATATGCATTGTGTTGAAATAATTTGCTACTTTTTCGTACATTTGTGTATTGTTAGATATTTTTCATATCAGTTAAGGTATTAGGATTAGGCACATATCATGTATATTTTTCGATACTGTGTAATTGGAACTTTTCGTACTAAAGAAATGGCTAATTGAACCGAAAAACTTCTTCTCGTAACTTTCGTGCATCCGTGCACATTTTGAGTATTGTATTTTGTGACTTTAAATAGAACATTTATTATTATCTAGGCCTAGAATATAGTAAAACTTAGTCTATGTCAACGGACAATCCGCTTAGGACATATTATTAATGTGAATAATTTTGTTATTGTTGATGTTATCTTTTACTTTGGCCTTGTTGTGAACCGAACATGTTGTAACTACAAATTCTGCTCACCTGGACACAAAGGTGCATTTAGGAGCAAATTTATAAATTTGAGAAATATATTTTTCTTGTTTGTTTTGAACATTTAAAGCATAATAAGGGATTTATTCATTGTTTTGCATTACTTGTATTATGTTTAATTACAATACATTTTAAGAAATAACTTAGGAACAATTACTTATGATTGTTTATTTTTTTGTAGCTTTTTACCTTCTCCTGGGAAGTTTGTAGTGAAATAAAGAATTACAAGAAACATTTTGTTGGTCATTAGGCATTACAGAGAAAGTCACACAACTGGATTTGTCAAAGGTTCAAAATTGATATAAAGAAAAAAATGCCATGAGGAATCAAAAATTGTATGAACATTTAATATAGGTTGGTAGAAACCTAACCCAATTTTTTGAGTAAAAGGTGCTATTTTTAGCTTTCAATATGGAGTAATTTGTGTTGGAGTTATTTCCCTTAGCCATGGTATAGGAGGGCATACGTTGGTTTTATGTGACAAACTATATTAAAACATTTGGTGCAAACAAGTCTGATAAGAGACCCTTTAATATGGGGGTTGTAGTAAGTAATGAAACAAGGCTTCAACACCTGAGGGCACTTCAGACAACATGTTGACTGAATTATAAGATAATTAGTGTTTGTTTATGGCAGTATAGGGAAATAACTTTTATTCAGATTATATCAGTTACTATGTAACGATTAAGTCAAAATCACTACATTAAATTACATCCTGCATTCATGGACCTAATACCTATTTAAAGTTTCACATGGATTAATCAAATGATGTTTGAGTTATGTGGTGGTGTACTCAGATGGACAGGCAATAGTATACCATAACTGTGTTTGAAGGGAATATAGTCATTTAGATTTTCAACAAAATATAAAATATATAAACATTTTATGCAATTCTCTCAAATAAAATACAAAGAAAAAACACCTAATATAAATACAAACTTGAAAAGCTTTCGACTAATATAATTGTTAAGTAAATTCATATTAAGAGACTCGTCCAAATAACAATATACTAATACAAAAATGAAACCAGATTACATGTTTATAAAATATACAGCAATGTTTTCAAACAAGTGGTTAATGAAAAATGTAAGGAAAATAGTCAGGTTGGCCAACTTTCTTGAATTAATAAAATAAGGTTATACCGTAATGACTAGATCATTATAAAACGCAAATTAGTTATAGTCATTCAGGTATAACCTTATTTCATAAATTCCCAAATTGCCAAATGTTGATGCTTATTAAAAAAAACTTGTCTCGCCAAATATTGATTCTCATTCTTATTCTTAAAATATATATTGTGTTTTAAACTATAGAAAAACATTTGTAATTATTGACGATAGACAAAATTGTACAGAATACTGTTGTCCTGTTACTAACATTAGAATATTCTGTTAGCATACTCTTATAGATGTACATGTATACAACCATTTCTGCTCGCAAAAATATACACTGAACCTTGAAAAAAGATATATTTAATTTTGTCGCATTTAGTCATTACAAAGGTTATACCAGAACATTTTTCAATAATTTAAAGACATATTGTGTATTTGGACGGCAAACTAAAAAAACCAAAATAAAATTAAAGATTATAAAAGAACTATTCACAAACAATACTGATAAAATCACTTTAAAGATATAACATACATCTATAAAATCATTTCATAGGGGTATAAAATTGGGAAATTCCAAAATATTCCCAACAAAGGACTTCAAAATCATTTCATAGGACAATTAAAACTGGGAAATTCCAAAATATCACCAACAAAGGACTTCGAAATCATTTCATAGGGGAATTAAAACAGGGACATTCCAAAATAGTACCAACAAAGGACTTCAAAATCAATTTATAGGGGAATTAAAATTGGGAAATTCCAAAATATTACCAACAACGGACTTCAAAATCAATTCATAGGGGAATTAAAATTGGGAAATTCCAAAATATTACCAACAAAGGACATCAAAATCATTTCATAGGGGAATCAAAATTGGGAAATTTCAAAATATTACCAACAAAGGACTTCAAAATCATTTCATAGGGTAATCAAAATTGGGAAATTTCAAAATATTACCAACAAAGGACTTCAAAATCAGTTCACAGGGGAATTAAATTGGGAAATTCCAAAATATTACCCACAAAGGACTTCAAAATCATTTCATCAGGGAATTAGAATTGGGAAATTCAAATTATTTCAAACAAAACTATTTAAAATCATTTTATAAAGGGATAATAAAGTTAGGCAATTCAAAATATCACAGACATATGATAGTATTTAACATAATATAACAAAAAGTTTATATACGGCAATCTTTCAATTTCCTGATCTGTCTGAAGTTTTTAGACATTCTATCTATATAAAAAACAACAACAGAACATTGTCTAATTGGTCCTTAACTTTCAACAAAACCTATGTTACTTTTGTTTTTCCTCAAAATGTCTATGAATCAAAACTGTTTAAACTGCCAACCAAAAATGTACATGACAAATGGATTTATAATCACAAATAATAGGACACTCGGAGAGACTGTTCTCAAATGATTACAAGACCAATTTATACAGGATATCAACTTTCTTCACACAGTTTTTAGTGATTGTCGAATTGTATATGTATAATAAAGATTCGTGAACACCAATCAAATAATAATCAATCAACAAGTAAAAAAAATATACAGTGGTAACCATTATCATGATTATCCTTAGGAAACATAAAAACATATAAGATATTAGGGCTATCACATATAATCATAGCTCCTATGACGTTAGAATAAATGTTTTCTACTGGTTGGCAATATATAATGTGTCTCTCTTTCCTGGGTAGGAGTTAGTTATGTTTCTTTAGTGAAGTGTAATGCGAAAGTGGAAAAAAAAACTTTTGAGAAGTGTTCCTGATCATCACCACTGTAATGTCAAACACAATTTGTATAAGAAAACATATCAGAAACTACAAAATACAGTATTATGTGTCCTTGGCTAATTACTTCTGAATATTTTAACAGTAAGGAAGTATATATAAAATGTATCAAACAAAAGCAGATCCACTATAGGAAATTTAAATGTATCTTCATATATATTTTGCTTGATAGAATGCCGTTGATTCCTTGATTTTCGTAAGTTCCTATTTTCTTGGATTGAGAAAAACTTGTATTTTTGTAGATTAGCAACACAAACCCATAGAAAAATTAAACTTAGTTACACTTTAAATTCATGGGTGACCCTTAACCTTGAAATCCACGGAAATTGTATCCCACAAATAATAATGAATCCACAGTAGAAGATAAAATTGGCTTAATTTACTCTGGACTTAAATTGTATGTTAAACGATCAGAATTTTATTTTATTGAAACATACTTATATTTCCAACCCCTGACCAATTTATGGCAGTTTAAAACTTCCTGCTTTCTGTGCATAGTATCCTCCTACAGAAATGGCCCTAACATTAACATAGATAGCTGTACCAGTCTCTGCCTTAACTGTTGCTGGTATACCAAATGTGATACTCGACTGGTTTGTAAACTGCCACTGTATAATGTTGGCACCACTCTGGAATGATCCAGCCGATATCTCATAATAAAGTGAATGGTCAGAGGTGAATATGTTTCCCCACGACACAACTACTTCATTGTTAAGGTAAGAAAAATAAAGGCTCTTTGAATCTGGAAAACAATAAAGTTTAAGAGATAACATAATATACAAAGCAAAAAATGTCAATAGAAAAAACTAGCCCGGATCATCATATTGCATTCCATGTTCGGAGAAATATGAAATCTGGATAAAATACATGACGGACAAATGGATGGATTAACAGACAGATATAATCACAGACACAGCCGAAAAATATAATTGCCTCCAATCTCTCAAATATTTAAAAAATTTCAAGTGGCTTACTAAACCAGAATGTTTGCATATATTGTGAAGCAAATTTAATAAAACCTTCTGGTTTCAAGTTTATCACAAAACCATGATAATCTTTGAAAATATTATTTGAAACATTCATCTCTTAATGTATTCAGCTGAGAAGTTTTGAAAATTAAGCATTTAAGAATGACAAATATTTCATGTAAGTAACATTTCAATTATTCTTTCAAATAAAAAAAAATTATAAAAACATATTTTTAAAACAATATATATCTGTACTTACTATCTACTAGGGGAACTGCAGTCTGAACAGTTACATAAGTGGTAACAAACAATGATCTAAGGAAAAGTTTATTCATAGCTTGTGAAGACACATCGTGTTTATCATCTATTAGTGACATCTTTGTGAAGTGAGTGTATAATACTTCCTGTTTTGCTGGGAAAAACATAGACTCTGACTTCTGTCCAGGATAATTTACCTGAAATATAATAATATTGTAATGGCAGTCCTATTCTAAAGGGAAATAGAATGAAATACCGTTAGCTAACTATTAACAAGCAAAAAGTCATGAAAATAAACTGACATGAAGTCTAAGGGTTAATGTGAAATAAGTATCAACAAGCAATAAGTTGGTTTTAAGTTAGAAATAATCGCAACGTTAGCATCCAAACACAGTGAAAATATTGACATGATTAAAAGTTTCAGCAAAATGTCGTAAAAGATCATGATGCTTGTTCATTATTAAAAACAACTGTGTGCAAAAACAAATTAGGGAAATCTTGCAGATAGACTGAAAAAAAGTGATGTTGATGCGAAGAGCTTGACATAAACACTACCATGTGGTATTACTGACAGAACACATTACTTCCAAAGATTTTTGAATAGATAGTGTTTATTAAACTGTGAACATGATCTTGATTATCTCCCGTTATTTTACATATCATTTTTAATCATGTTTTTGTATTCATATGCATAGTTGTGGATCATTGTTGAAGCTATATCAATTTTGTTTTGAAAAACATTTCTAGCATTTCTCTTAACATTTATTCAATTTTTTAAACGTTTTATTATATGTCTGCAACCAGTCTTTTAAGATATAAATCATGTTTTATTCCAAAATGATGTTTTTTTTTAAATACAGTTGGATAGGAAATTATCCACATGTACTTCTATAATTTTATATATATATAGCTTTTGGTGTTTGCAGGGGTTGGGTATAACATTGTAGCATATCATTAGATTATGTTACATTACTTTTTTACATTGAAAACTTCAAACAATATTTACATTAAAACTTTTAACAAATTTTATAAAATTTAGACTTTGTGTAAACTCTGATGATCATACTAAAGTTACCTTGTATGTTTCCACACCAATGCTATCTGTAAATCCAGACCATTTTATTCTCAATGTATCTGTCAGACCTAGGTACCAGTCTCGAGGGTTGTACTCTGTATATGACAGGGAAAGAACTTCCATTTCTACTGTGGATATGGATGGTGGTGTGTTTGAGATTTGAACACCATCAGTAGATAAAGAGTAAGTAAGACCGGCATTGTTCTCACAGCTGAGGGTGGTGTAGATGGTATACCCTTCTAAAAAATTGTAATCAAATTCCATCGAGGCTGGTGAAGCTGATATTTCAGTGTAAACAAGCAAGTCTGTTTTACCTGGTGCGTAACCTGTAAATATACAAACACAATATTAGCCTAATAATGTTTTCAGTTTAAAGTAGCGAGTACATATGTTTCCTGGTGTGTAGATGTAAATATACGAACTACGAACGCAACTGTCGTCTGATGAAGTTACACTGCAGTGTAAAGTAACGAATATACATGTTTCTCGGTGTGTAGCCTGTAAATATAAAAACGCTGCTTTAGCCTAATGAAGTTACACTGCAGTGTAAAGTAGATAGTACATATGTTTACTGGTGTGTAGCCTGTAAATATTCAAACATAGTATTATCCTGATGAAGTTTAAGTTGCTGTGTAAAGTAAGGAGTACACCTGTTACCTGAAATCTGTAAATAAACAAACATAATATTACACGATTTCGAGAAACTAAAAGTCCTGTATACTACATTCTAGCTGTTTCAAACTTGACCAAAATCTAAGTAATTGTTTCATGAAATCATTAATTCATTGTATTGTTACATAGCTCCTTAATTAGCAGTATGTTTTCTACTTTATCATAATATATCATAATAATGTATAATTGTGAACTCGAATATACAAGTTCCAGTGACAATCTAAGCCAACTAAGGTTAATTAGTTCCTCCAAGCCACCCTTTTAATGTTACTGTAAGTTGAAATTATATATTTTGTTTTACTGTGTGTTTAACCATTTCACAAATATCAGATGACTAAATCTTACCAATTGCCCATTTACAGAACTTAATACTAGATTCCAAGTCATCTACTTCCCAGTTTGCAACAACTTGATTAAACGTCCAGGAATCCTCGTCAGCACCTGTCAGCAGAAAAACTGGTAAGAAATTACGTCACAAAACAAAGACAAAAACAATTTAGTACAGTAATAAATTGTATAATGTTCTTGTATTTCTGATATTGTTTAGGAGGGCATTCAAAATATATAATGAGTGGCATGGGGATAAATTTTAAATAAATATCATTTTAAGCCATTTATTTAAAAACAAAATGAGTTTAACACAGTTCTATTTCTTAATGAAAATCGTTAAAACCATTTTTTTTTCTTGTAGTTTTAAAGTAAAAGAGACAAATGTGTGAAACACATACATGTTTTTAGTAAAAGACATAATTGCAATTTTACTCATCCTCTTTAGGGACAAAAAATGAACTCCTGAAAGCATCTACTCTTCCATATAGTTTATGACTGTTATTATGAAAAGCAATCACTTCTTTCAGCTGTTTAAATACTTGTGAATTATTCTTATTTATAAGTTAACTATAACATTGAGTCTTCCAATAATTGTGTTCAAAAGTATAAAGATACAAAATAATATACGACATCTAAGTTACAAAAAGAATGCAGATAACTTTTGGTGATAATCAATTTTCAATGCCACATCCAAATTATGTGTCTTTTAAACTTAACATACCTCTACCATCATTAATATATTTAATATCAGGTGGTGTCAGATCTACCAGTATGGGATCAGAATATGATATGCCCCTCAATCCTGCAGCATTAGTGGCTATAGCTGTCACATAAATAAAGGTGTTATGTACCAGGGTTACATTGTTGTTATAGCCAAAGTTCATCAGTCCAGCACTTCTAAATGGTTGGATCTGTGTACCTCCCTCTGCATAACCTGCAACATAAACAAAGTTAATCATTCCCACACTTCTGAATGATTGGACCTGTTTACCTCCCTCTGCCTAATCACAACAACAACAAAAAACAAAGTTAATCAATCCAACGCTTCTGAATTGTTAGATCTATGTTCCTTTCTATGTATAACCTACAACATAAAGAAAGTAAATCAGTCCCACACGTCCGAATGGTTGAATATGTGTTCCTCCCTCTGAATAACCTACAACAAAAACAAAGTAAATCAGTTCAACCGTTCTGAATTGTTGGGTCTGTCTATCCCCCTCTGTATAACCTACAACATAAACAAATATAATCAGTCTCAGACGTCTGAATGGTTGAATCTGTGTTCTTCCCTCTGCCTAAACTACAACATAAACAAAGTTAATCAGGTCAACACTTCTAAATAGTTGGATCTGTGAACCTCCCTCTGCATAACCTACAACATGAACAAAGTTAATGAGTTCAACACTTCACAAGTACTTACCTATAGCCCATGTGTAATCAATGATAGGAGAATCTGGATCAGAGAAACTCCAGGACCCATGGATAGAACTCCATTTATGCAAATAAACAACATGACCAAGCACATGGCCACTTGTAGCACCTGTTGTTAAGTTCACTTTCTGTACAGAAAGGTCATCTACAAATATCCCTGTAGTCATGTCCATACTTCCTATTGTGATATTCACAGCATTCTCTGTCGGTCTGAAATAGAAATGGTGTGTATGCCAGGAAATTTCCTCACGGTCTGAACTAATTCCATGTCCATCTTTACGATAACTTTTAGTGTAAATTAAAAACACCAGTCTTTCTCCATCACCAAATTGTATAAATCCTTCTTTATTGGCAGCCACTGAGTCTGTTATTGACAAATGACTACTGAAGAAGGAAACTCTGTAAAGCTGTCCAGCAATAACTTGTGGTAATTCTTGGTGCACATTTCCTCTAATGAACAAAAAATATCGTCCATCTTTGGCTAAATTAACATCAGAAGATACCACAGCCATACACGTAAAAGGTGATGGTATCCATGACAATGGGTGGTAACTAGTAGAAACCATACAAATATCAATAGAAGTAACATTTTCAAACATAATAACATCTCCACTTGTGTTTTCAAATGATGTATTGTTGCCAAGATTTTCAATAACATGAATGAACTTTTCAGGAACGGGAGGAGTTTTGTCAATGACGGCACCATCTGATACAACAATGTCCGACTTCAGCCCAGCGTTATCAACAGAATAGACTTTTGCATATAATCTTGTTCCTGAAAAACAAAAACAAAACACTTTTAATCTTATGAAATCTTCTTGGATTCAGAAATATTCAGTACAGGTTGCACTTGGTAAATACAGCTGTTTCACAAACCACGCATCTTTTAGGCAGATATATAATATTCATAGATAAATTGTTTTGTTTACGTACTGGTTCCCAGATATGATCTCTGTTTCATCTCATAGAGACATAACTTGGAAATGTTACCAGTATAAATAAAAAAATATAGCGGCAGCCTTTAATTCTGAGGGAGACCAAAAGTGAAGGTAGGGGTAGTACAGAATTTAAGTACAAGTTTAAACTCTTAGAAGTTCGGGGCATATACATGTTGAAAATATGCCGCGCAGCCCTATATTTTGACCTTTGAAAAAATAGTAGTGCATATGAGCTTTCCATTCTAGGATATAATTTTTTTCGAAACTTCATAGTAAAAGTGGTACAGTTTTAGCCGTAAAAGGAGTTCCTATGGGAAATTGTATTGTCTATATTTACAGAAATGCAACCTATAAATATTACAGCATACACACCAATCATTCCCTATTGTTTTAATTTTCCTTTTTTGGACGATGTTTATGATCTATTGGCGTCGATTAATGGTGTTTATATATTCCAACTCGTTCGCTAGGACCCTGTCTGTCGTGACTTTTGGATTTCAATGAGCGTAATCTTTGCAAAACTGGTAAATTATTAAGTAAGTGATTTCGTTACAACAAAGTACTTAATCCCTTAAAAAAGATTCTTGCATAGATACAGATATTTGGTTTGAAGGTTTGGGTGTACCTGTTTAAGACCTATTCCAAGCAGAATAGGTCATCCTAATTTTTATGGTGATGTTGTTTACCGAGTCAAGAAATGGAGATATGATGCGGGTAAACCTATCAATCTTTTAGATAAACTTATTCTAAAATGTTACCAATTGAACACTGTATTTAGATCTTTGAATATTGTTTTCAGTGGTATAAATATTGATTTTGTTATCAATAAATTAAAACCAGACTAAATGATATTGTTCTACACATATGCACCTTAACGGTTCTACAATGTGTTGATACCTATCTTTTGGCATTGCACAAGATCATGTATTTCTCTGAATGTTAATGACATCTTCACACTTTATCTAATCGTTGTTGGATGTGCACAGATTTATATTTTAGTTTTAAATGCATGATGTCTGTATTAATTGTTTTTGGTATTGAACTAGTTGTAAGTAACAAAGAATACACTCATATCTGTTCTTTGTGTCCTTTTTGTGATGAATTTATGAATTCCCGGCCACGTCCGGTCTGTAATTTTGTTAGATGTTTTCTGCTTTGTATCGATCTGATGAGTTGGCACTTTTCGACTAATTTTTATAGTTTGTGCTTATGGTGTGCCGTTACACCACTATCGCAGGTTAGAAGAGGGTTGGCGCCTTCGAAATTGTTTAACCGCGCCACATTCTTTATGTGCTTATCCATAGTCAGAAACCTTTAGTTCAGTGGTTGTCGTTGGATTATATCTGTCATATTTGTTTTTCGTTAATTGTTTTGTTATAAATATTTAGACGGTGAGTTATCTCAATTGAATTGTTTCATATTTTCATGTCCAGGCCTTTTATAGCCGACATTATGGTATTGGAGGCCATATGGTTGCCTCTAATTGCTTACATAGATATAAGAAGATGTGGTATGAGACAACTCTCCATCCAAGTCACAATTTGTAAAAAGTAAACCATTTTAGTTCAAAGTACAGCTTTCAACACGGAGCCTCGGCTCACACCGAACAGCAAGCTTACGCCTACTTTATTTGAACTTTTGGGGATAGTTGTCTCATTTGCAATCATACCACATCTAATATATAATGATGAATAAATAAAGGCAACAGTAGTATACCGCTATTCGAAATTCATAAATCGATTGAGAAAAAAAAAACAAATCCGAGTTACAAAGAGAGTTGGGTACTTTCCTTAATAAAAATCTGAAATATAAACTGTAACCTTTGGGTTTTTCAGTAAATATATTACATGATAAGAAACTGTTATCTTGGGTATTTCAGTAGACATTTTACTAATTGGTATACACTTCTACATTGGGGTGTTTTAGTAGATATATGACTAGAAGGTATAAACTGTTACCTTGGGGTATTTCAGTAGCTATATTACTAGAAGGTATAAACTGTTACCTTTACTAGAAGGTATAAACTGTTACCTTTACTAGAAGGTATAAACTGTTACCTTGGGGCATTTCAGTAGATATATTACTAGAAGGTATAAACTGTTACCTTGGGGTATTTCAGTAGACATATTACTAGAAGCAGAAACATGTAAACCAGCATTTGTCCACCCCAGTACACTACATTCTGTCTTGTCTCGTTTCCTGTTGTTTACATATGTTCTTGTTCCAAAGCACCAATAGTTTGTTGCTAAACCAGATTCTGTATCTGTAAATCCATGCCAGTGTGCAGACACAGAATCAGAGGAATTCATATACTCTAAATCTGTACTTCCTAAAAAGGACAAATGCGTATAAATGCACAAACAATTGCTTAAATCAGTTGCAATTAATCCAAGACAAACCGTTCATTTATAAGATTAACTAGAATCACTTTGAACGTGCAAACATCACGCACTAGACAATGGGGATAATGTCATTAAAAGAAAGTCATCCTAAACAGTATACCTAAACCTATTTCTAACAAATTATCTATATGCAACAACATATACCAGAAACACCTGATTTATATTCACAAATGCCTTTTGGTCAGGTTCAATCAGTTACAACAAATAAGGCATGGCTGTTATGAAGGAAATTCTTCCACAACTTACCTAGTCCATCATAAACAATTCCTGACTTAGGTAGTGTATAGTCAACAACAAAACCATCTGATGTTGCTGTTGTGTGGGCTCCAGCATAATTATAGGCTATAACGTTTGTGTAATGGACTACACCAGGTGTTAGTTGTAGACCCGTCATGTTAAACTGTTGGTCTGTTCCGGGAATGTCATGTGCTACTCTAAGGATATCGTGTCCTAAAATGTAAAAACAGACATCTCAAATTCATACTGGAAAGCTGACTGATAATAGTCAGACTAACTTATATATTTTTTTCAAATGATACTGAAAAGGATTATGCAGGATTCTGGAATAGATTTGAATTAGTTTTCAGGTTGTTGATACACTCAACAAAGCTTTTCATTTTTGTATTTTTTCGCTGATAGATTTTTTTATAATCCTGTTGATTCAAAACAAATATTCTTATGTAAAACATCTAGGCTAATCATGAATGAAAATAAAATAAAATACAGAGTTGGTTCAGTAGGTGTGTTGATTTTAATAACCAGTAGATGTACAAAAGGAAAAAGCTAACACACGTACTATATAAACATTAACTCTATAATAAGTCTGATTTCATTTTCAGCCATTTCTGTCTAACTAATCACTATAGGTCGATTTAAATTTATGTTGTTCCATAATTTATTAAGTGTGCGTGTGGTTAGAGAGGATATTTGAATTAAATTTGATCGGTTTTAGTATCTTTTGACAACAGCTTTAAGAATTGTATAGAAAAACCAATCGAACATTTATTAATGTTTGTAGCTGGGGTCATCAAAAATTTCCTACTGACAACTATTACAAACACATTTTATATTGGCACTGCTCTTAGTGTTGTTTGTGATGATAAGCATCAGGGGCTGATTCAGGCGGGGGCGTGGCGGGCGTGCTCCTCCCCCCTAAAATTTGCAAAGCATGGGTTGTCCTCAGCTTAATAAAAAATATTTCGATAATTTTACCTCAAAAACATTTTTGACTCGCTTCGCTCGGCGAAATTTCAAGTTTTCGCTCCCCTAACCTAAAATCCTGACCTGGATCCGCCCCTGAGCATGCTAAAAATTCTGAATTTCTTTACATATTTAAAATGACAATACATAGTCTCAAAATTTAAAATTTATACATAAAAAACTTATAATTTAGAAACAGGTAGAATGCAAGGCTATGCGTCACATTTCTTATTGAGGGGAGTTCAAATTAACTGATATTTCGTGACAATGTATGGTTTTTCAGTTATAATGAAGCTCTTACAACTGTACCAAATGAAATATATTGGGTAAAAAACAATCATTTTATTTAATTTGAAGTGAAGACTCAAAAATATATGAATCTGTATTCTTTATTGACGATTTATATAAAACTCAACAAAATGCATAGTCAACGTTACAAACAAGGCAATATACGGCCAGTGACTTTATCACAAATGAATATACGGTTGACTTCGCAAATAGCACAGTTTGTTGCAGATTAAATAGATTCGTCATACACCAGAAATTAACTACTCGATATTTAAATCACTTCCTTGGACAGTACTAAGATAAAAACTGTATTTATCTGTAGCCTTATCACACTCCAAGAATTAGTTGTTCTAGTCTCAACTCACCTCCTGGGAAAGTACTTAGATAAATACTGTATTTCTCTATAGTTTTATCATACTCCAGGAATTTACTGTTCCAGTCAAAGGTTATAGGTCTGCCTATCTGCATGAAGTCTGTGTCCTTGACAGTAGTTCCTCTTATTTTTTCTATAACCTTTAAGAGACAAGATTATTTATAAATTTCTTGCCGCCTATGATATAAACATATTGCCTGTTTGAAACACTATACTAGTATACTTTTGATTATTTCATTTTTGAATCACTGGCATTCCCATTCTTGACCTATTCATAAAACAAGATGTGTCTATGCCACAACATCCTATGTTCATAATCAACTGCATCAATCTCAGTTGGTGCAAGTCCATGCTTGATACTGATATAATTTTAAATAAATTTTCTTATATCTGTTATTTCTAAAGTTAAAACATGATAGTGCATCATTAGCCTATTTTTCTGACTGAATCATTATGGTAATATACTCAATGTACATTATATTGTATATATTCAGGTTGCACTCTAATAAACTATTTATTCATTTATATAGTGTACAGCTATCTAATTCAACTTTGCATGATCAGGAATGTATCAAATAAAGTTTACAGTGTATTCATTTGTTGTCTTGGGAACCAATTTTCGTGGATTGAGAAGAGGTTTTATTTTCATGGATATTTGATTTTGTGGTGTTTTTTCAAAATTTGCATATATATGCCTATAGAAAGTTTGTCCTTTTTCAACATTTAAATTGCGTGGGTCAATTATACCCACGGAATCCACGTTATTGGTAACCCAAGAATCAACAGTATAACATCAAACTATTTGATTAAAACACATGTAAAGTACTTCACTTTACTCTGGTTGGGACTCAGAATGTATATTCGTTTTTGAATGTATGTATGTAATTGTGCAGAAGTATAGTTTTTAGTGTAAGCCTTTATATATATAACATGTCTTTGCATTTAACACTGAATTGCAACTACAGCTACATCACCCTAAAGAGCATTTGCAAATGAAATCCTAACTTTGACTCAAACAGTAATCGGCACTTTTGGTTGTCACATAACACCCGTTTCACCATACTTATCTAACCATAATACCATGCAAATAACCATATCCCCTAGTCTGTGTCTCTAACAAACTCACAGCTTTTCCTCTAACAGAAGCTAACACAGGAGCTTGTCCCATTACAACTATTCCATTCGATTTAAAAACAGCATACTTATCTGCTGAGTACCATATTCTCACAAACACAGAGTAAGTCAAAGTATTCTCCAATTTATCACCTGAAACAAATAAAACTATATTGTCAAATAGTGGATATCTTTATACTTGTTTAATAGAATGGTCTTAATTTAAGTCTATGCATCATTTTCCTCTGTAATTTATCGGTTTTTGGTCCTTGACTTCATTTTCATGGATCATTGGTGAAACTTTTATTTTAATATCAGAAATGTTTTCACTTTGAAAAGACACTTTGAATACCAATATCAAGATATAAACAAGGTATGTTTTAGTTTCAAAATAAAAATAAAATATATTGTCATTTCTTTTTAATCAGAAAAAATGTCTTCTTAGCTTTTTCAATGTTTATAAACAACTATCCAATAATTGATAAAGTATTAAGTCTAAAACTTCTAAAACTAACCAGGTTTAGTAGAAAAAACACAGTCCTTAAGCTGACCGCCATCTTGCCAAACCTTTTCTTCCACAGGATCATATATACCAGATGGGAAATCAAACAAAGTGTAACCAACACTCCATTCATACCTACAAAAACTGAGTAAAGCTAACATTGCATTCAAACATGCAATAAAAACAGAATTAAATTATCACTCCATTAAAGCCTGATATGGAGTCAAACTGAGTTCAGTTTGCATTTCATTCATAACTGCAATAGACTTAAACTGTATATACCATAAGAAATTTTAGAAAGGAAATACTGTATTACTGATCTAAGAAACACTTCATTTATGCTAGCGGATTAAAATTGAGTGAAGTCAACACTCCTGTCATGCTTATGAAGTCAAACTGAGTTTAGTCAAAACTTTATTCATGCTCAAGGATTCAAACTGAGAGTAGTCAAACTTAGTAAAGTCAACACTCCATTCATGCTAGAGAGTCAAAATGAGGGTAGTCAACACTCCATTCATGCCAAAGAAGTCAAACTGAGGGTAGCCAACACTCCATTCATGCTAGAGAAGTCACACTGAGTGCAGTCAACACTCCATTCATGCTAGAGAAGTCAAAATGAGCGTAGTCAACACTCCATTCATGCTAGAAAAGTCAAACTGAGTGCATTCAACATTCCTCTCACGCTAAAGAAGTCAATCTTAGGGTGGTCAACATTCCATTCATGGTAGAGAAGCCAAACTGAGTACAGTCAACACTTCATTCATGCTAGAGAAGTCAAACTGAGGGTAGGCAACACTCCATTCACGCTAGAGGAGTCACACTGAGAGTAGTCAATATATACCTAATTCATGTTTGGAAAGTCAAACTGAGTGCAGTCAACATTCCGCTCATGCTAGATGAGTCAAATTGAGTTTTTTTCAACACTTCATTCTTGCTAGAGGTGTAAACAATTTGACACAATTCTAACAATATACATGTTCATAATCAGTTATAAAGAGTTATCCCCTTGTACTTGGGACACAATCCACATTCTACGTAATACATTATCGAATGTTCTTACAGCTTAATAATGGAGTTATTTCACTTGACTTATTATAAAGGTTTTATGCCTTGTACGTGTGACACAAATTACACGTAATATATTATGCGATTCTCTAAAATCTTGATGACTGGAGTTATCTCCCTTGAATGACAATAAAGGTTTACATTCATGCCTGGAAAATCAAATTACAGTTTAATCATGGAGAGTTATCTCCCTAGACGTACCATAAAGGTTTCATGACTTGTACTTTGGACGTAAGCCACATTCCACGTAATATATCATTTGATGCTGTTACAATCGATCATGGAGAGTTCTCTCCATTGACCTACCATAAAGGTTTCATGCCTTGTACTTGGGACACAAGCCACATTTCACGTAAAATGTTATCAGATGCTGTTACAATCGATCATGGAGAGTTCTCTCCCTTGACTTACCATAAAGGTTTCATGCCTTGTACTTGGGACATAAGCCACATTCCATGTAATATGTTATCAGATGCTGTTACAATCGATCATGGAAAGTTCTCTCCGTTGACTTACCATAAAGGTTTCATGCCTTGTACTTGGGACACAAGCCACATTCCACGTAATATGTTATCAGATGCTGTTACAGCTTGATCACTACTAGAATAGCTATTACTATCTTTAACCAGTAGAAGATTGTTGTTATTATCTAGAAGAAAAAATAACAAGAATCTTTCAAAATCAGATACACTTAGGTTCGTCTATTTACTCAGACCATTTAATATATAAAAAAAGTTTTCCTTGTTCCTTCCATATTATATGATGTTTATTCATATTTGGTTTCCAATCATGATCAAAGGCGCCTTTGTCTAATTGTGTTTTTGTTTATAAATTATTCCCATCATCAACATATTCCTAGGTATATTGGGTTAATATTTTGAATTTATTTTCCTACTGTTGTGCAGAATATCAACATTTTGACCTTGACATCATTACAACCAAGAATTAAAGGACATTTTTAATCACGTAGAGCATATACACAATGTTTATCACATGACCTTGACATACTTACTGTCTGAACTATTTATTCATTTATATAGTGTACAGCTATCTAATTCAACTTTGCATGATCAGGAATATTTCAAATAATTTATACAGTGTATTCATTTGTTGTCTTGGGAACCAATTTTCGTGGATTGAGAAGAGGTTTTATTTTCATGGATATTTGATTTTGTAGTGTTTTTTCAAAATTTGCATATATATGCCTATAGAAAGTTTGTCCTTTTTCAACATTTAAATTGCGTGGGTCAATTATACCCACGGAATCCACGTTATTGGTAACCCAAGAATCAACAGTATAACATCAAACTATTTGATTAAAACACATGTAAAGTACTTCACTTTACTCTGGTTGGGACTCAGAATGTATATTCGTTTTTGAATGTATGTATGTAATTGTGCAGAAGTATAGTTTTTAGTTTAAGCCTTTATATATATAACATGTCTTTGCATTTAACACTGAATTGCAACTACAGCTACATCACCCTAAAGAGCATTTGCAAATGAAATCCTAACTTTGACTCAAACAGTAATCGGCACTTTTGGTTGTCACATAACAAAGGACATTTTTAATCACGTAGAGCACATACACAATGTTTATCACATGACCTTGACATACTTACTGTCTGAAACATAATAACAACTAATAAGGTTTTGATTTAAAGGAAATGTTTTATCCTTAGGAGCACATACACTATGTCTGTCACATGACCTTGACATACTTACTGTCTGAAACATCATAACAACTAACAAGGTTTGGATTTAACGTAAATTTTATCCAGTGGAGCACATACAAAATGTCCAGCACATGACCTTGACTTACTTACTCTCTGACACATAATGAGAACTAATAAGGTTTGAATCTTTATCACACTATGATCCTGTGGAGCACATACACAATATCAATCACATGAACTTGAAATGTTACTGTCTGACACATCATTACAACTAACAATGTTTGGATTTACAAGCCTTTGTGATCCCGTGGATTCCATACACAATGTTTATCACATGACCTTGACATAGTTACTGTCCGACACATCATTTCAACTAACAAGGTTTGGATTTGAAGGACATTTTTGATCTTGAGGAGCACATACACACTGTCAATCACATGACCTTGACATACTTACTGTCCGACACATCATTACAACTAATAAAATTTGGATTTAAAGGACATTTGTTATCTTGAGGAGCACATACACAATGTCCATCACATGACCTTGACATACTTACTGTCCGACACATCATTACAACTTATCAAGTTTGGATTTAAAGGACATTTTTGATCTTGCGGAGCACATACACAATGTCCATCGCATGACATGGCATCACATCTTCTGATTAGGTCTAAAGGTCCTCCGGGTACTTTTGTAAAAGCTGAGTGGATAAGTTTACTTCTCATCCCTACCTGCAAAACATATTGGTGGTTTAACATGTTAAAGTAATTTTAGACACAAAATACTTCCATGTCTTCCAGTGCTTAATATGCTACTTGAGTATGACATCTATTGTAAATATCATTTATCAAAATGGTGTATACAACACACAAACACTTGCACTGTAAGAAAAAACAATGCAATATGTTTTCTAAGACTTATTTGTGATAATATAAAAGGAAAGGATTGCAGTGTACTTTAAATCATAATAAGAAGGTATAACAATTGATGAAAAAATTTCAAGCATCCCTGGTTCATCCTGGAATTATTCAATAGGCAGGTAATATTTTTGTTAAAATGAAAAACATTCAGTGTTCAAATTCCGGATTAACCAAGAGTTGCAATAATTTATTTTGATTTTAAAGAATTTTTTTTAAATCTTCAGGAAAACTCGAGTTGCATCAAACAACAATATCTACAAATTGAAGACAATTTTGTACACAACACATTTATATTTTGAAAAATGAGATTTGTATTTCTTTTTCTTCTTTTTCGTTACTGTGAAATACTTTATACATATATATATATATCAGCAAAGTAGGATTTATTCTTTTTCTAAACATAAGAGCATCATTAGCTGAACAAACTGACCCCGTTGACAGCCCACACAGATATATACAGTGTATCATAGTTGGTCAAAGTTTTGGTTTCCACTTTAAACAGTTGAACTTTTCCTTCATTACCATGATCTGTATTGGTTTTTGTATGGTAATATTTGGCATCTGTATCCTATTAGTAAAACAAAAATGTATATATATGTATGTAGTAGCTAAAATTCCTAAAAAGAAATCATTTGCAATCTGGTAAAGGAAAAAACCTTACAGATTTTACGTCTACCACGTGCATGCGCACCAATGCAATATTTAAGAAACAGCTTATTTTTCTATAAAAACATGAGAAACTTTACTTTACATTATAACTAAATATTTACCTTTGCACTATATTTCAACTTGTCCTTATGATATTCAATAGCTTATTTATCATTGTATTCTATCTAAATGTGTCCCTTCCCTTACGGGTAAAATTAACAGCCACATCTCCTTTCATAAAACAAGAGACAATTAGGCAACTGTTTGTTTTTATGTTGTACTGTTACACCACTGTCTCAAGTTATGGGGGGTTGGCGCCTTCAAACTAATTAAATCCCGCCACATTCTGTATGTGCCTGTCCAAAGTCAGGAGCCTGTATTCAGTGGTTGTCGTTTGTTGCTGTGTATCATATTTGTTTTTCGTTCTTTATGTTGTACATAAATAAGGCCGTCACTTTTCTCGTTTGAATTGTTTTGCATTGTTCATTTCGAGGCCTTTTATAGCTGACTATGCGGTATGGGCTTTGCTCATTGTTGAAGGCCGAATGGTGACCTATAGTTGTTAATTTCTGTGTCATTTTGTCTCTTGTGGAGAGTTGTCTCATTGGCAATTATACCTCATCTTGTTATTATTAAACATACTTCATTCACGTCTTCTCTTGGTCTATGTATAATTATTCTACGTCCATTTTATAATAGGTCCACATTACATTCCCATTTTAGGTGTACATACCTCATTTAAATCCTGGCCCATATAAGTAGACCCAACAGAAACTTTATAATAGTCTATATCAGAATGTAGGTCACTGAAGCCTAACCAGGCCAGATTTATAGCTCTCTGTGACCAGATCATCCATCCTTCAGCATGTCTCAGGAGTTCAAGATCGGCAGCATGATCAGTTGTAATGGCAAACATACCTAATCAGCAAAGAAACAATATTAAAACTTTTGTAAGAGTTAATGATCAGCAGCATAATCAGTTGTTATGGCAAACATACATAATCAACAGAAAAACAATACTAACACTGTTGGAAGAGTTCATGATCAGCAGCATGTTAAGATGTAATGATAAATATTCATATAAATATCCATGAATAGTATAGTTCCATCACAAAATCCTAACTGTTCTTAAAAACATACCTCTAGACGGTGGGGTACTGTCTACAAACATGCCCTGAGATGTAGAAGTTATACAAATCTCAGCACTGTTACAGGAAATTAACGTCACATAATAGGTGACTCCATCATGTAAATCTAGTCCAGAAAAAACATAGGACCTGGCTATACCATTGACCTAGAAATGGCACAAGAAAAATATAAGCTGTATCATTTACTTGAAAAATGAGTCATTCATATATTTCATATAGCTCTAAAACAGAAAATAATAAATGCCACTCGAAAAGAAAAATATCTATATGAGATCAAACTATGTAGAGTCATAATTTGATATGTTTTGTTCAGCTTTTATATAGAGATGACATGATATTGTGGGATAAACGTGCTGTGATGACAATATGACTTTTGATGTGAGTTATGTAATGGCAAGGATTTTGATTGTTATCTTGATATTAAACATTGCATTAAGGTGTATCAGGCAAAAACAGTATTTTGAATGGAGTTATCTCCCGAAGGATATGTTCCAATTGTCGTAACTACAATCCCGTCTCCTTTTCCCTGAATGTGAACTACCGAATTAGACTTATCACCGGTTTTGTACCTACGTGAAAAACATGTAGGGTGCCACATGTGTAGCTGGATCTGCTTACCCTTCCGAAGCACCTAAGATCACCCCTAGTTTTGATGTGGTTCGTGTTGCTCAGTCTTTAGAGTTCTATGTTTTGTTTTATGTACTGTTGTTTGTCTGTTTGTCGTTTTCTTTTTTAGCCATGGCGTTGTCAGTTTAGTTTGGACGTCCCTTTGGTATCTTTCGCCTCTCTTCTAAAGTACATATATATGTTGACATGGATAAGTAAAAGAGTGTTCATCCCACTGCACTAACTTGTGTGTAGTCACAAACTACAGGTAGAGAAGATGGTTGAAATATATCTACAATTTTAACCAGCAAGTGACTTATCATCCCAAAAATTTACAGATACATGCTTGCGATGAAAAGTGTCTGACTGTTATGACAACATGAGTTGTCTCCCCTTGATGTGAGATTGTAATGTCAACATACTGATAGAGAAGACAACATGAATTCTCCTCCAATATGAGATTTGATAGAGAGATACTGTCTTTTTATAAACGACTCGTCATCATCAACAGCCCATTCAACCTTCATAGATGTTCTATAAATCTGTGTCAATCCTTTAATTCCAAAGTCAGCAGAGAATGTAGGTGTTGTTTTAATAACAGGAGCTGATGTGTCGACTAGAAAACCATTGGATGTGGATTCCGACCATAAACCTGTAATGAGATTCTCATTTAGGTATTTATTCTGAAAAATGTATCATATTAAGATGTAGATAATATTCCTGTATTTTGATTTTAACCTAGTAATAACCTCGGCCTTTCCTGATGTATATGTTCCAAATGTATTCAAGCTTGAAGTTCATCTTGCTTCACTGATTCATGATTTTTGAGTAATCATTTTATTTGATTATAAACTTAAGGCACAGCAAATCCATTTTCTTCTTGCAACATATCATAGACAAGAAAGCAGACATGATCTGGAACAAATATATTCAATCTATTCTCTAAATATTAATTCTAACAGGCAGGTGACTTACTGTAGATTCATTATTTTTCATGGTATTTTTTGGGTATATGTAAAGAATTTAAATGTTCAACAAAGTATAAAATTGTCTATAGGGGTGAACGCCGACTTTGCAAAATCCAGAAATAAAATACCACAAAAATACACTTTTTCTACAATTAAAGAGAATTGGTTCCTACGGAATGAATGAATTGACATTGATATAACCGATGCAGGATCAATACTATTGTATGAAATAAGCAGTTGTCTAATGTATAAGATATAAATTGTGACATGCAAGTTGCTGTGATGTGCTTTTTTCATTTAATTTTACAGACATTAGATCAAAATGATACAAGTATGAAGTCCTGTCCATGATCTTAAAAATATTAGGCAGTAAGAATAAAGGGAAAATGTACAAATTGCCGATATTGTGCCTTACCAACTTTATTGTAAGCTCTGACAGTAACAAAGATTCTCTGGTTTAACGGTAGTCCAAGAGATATATTATATATAGCAGCAGTCTCCGTCAGATGAAGTTTTGTTTCTGGTATAATATCAGTGCCTCCTTTAATGGTTCCTGCCATCCATACATACTTCACGAGACCAGACTGAGGATCATCGAACCCATACCACTTAGCTGATATATAGGTCCTGTAATATATGTATACTTAACTAAGGCTGCTTCATTGAATCATGTCAAATATTAAGGAAAACCTCAGACAAGAGAAGAGATATAGGTCATGTAAAATATTTTCGCATATTAACAGCTGTTTCATTAAAGCAAGGCAGATATCAAAGGAAAACTCAGACAATACTGAGGATGATAAAACCCATGCTACTTAGTAGAGATACATGTCCTGTAAAATATTTACACATTTTTACAGCTGTTTCATTGAAACATATGCATCTCGGGTATCAAGGAAACATACTTCTCCAAACAAGACCGAGGATCATACATGATGAGTATTAGTGTATAAATTCTCTATTTCACATTATATTTTTTCTGACACTACTCCTATTTTTTTCTTTTCAGAAAGTAATAGTTCTGATAAGTATCAATCTTACGACATAGACTGGTATTCTGTGTCGAGGAAACCAGTTCCATCCTGAACTATTCCAGCTACAGGGGCACTGTTGTCTATAATCACACCGTCTGATGTCACGGTGGTACACATTTCTGCCGTGTTACATGCCGTCACTGTGGTATAATATCTCAGCCCTGTACCAAGGTGGATATTCTCTAATGTAAATTCTGAAGTTAAACAAAAGACATATATATGCAAGATATAGTTGTTATACATGTGACATATTGCACATGATAAATATCGTGTACTGTATCAGTCTTGTACCAAAGTTGATGTTTTCTAATGTAACTACTTAAATTAATACATTTTTTTTAATAATTAGTACTTCAATCCTGATCAATTTGACTTCCTTTTGATTGAGTTCTCTTCCATTGGTATTCCAAAATGTATCTTTTTTTTTATATATAAGCGATTGCTTTGCTGTCGAAATGTGATAAATGCTGTCTATTTATTTGTGACATAAAGATTGTATCCTTCTATGGAACAAAATTCTTTGTTACTTTTAAAAATGCTTATTACTGATATCAATATAACAATCTTTAATTCAAACATCAATTGCAGTGAATAGACTTCACATAGCAGAAAAGTTCTTATAGAAACATAAAAATCATAAATGCTGGAGTGAAATTAATGAAGGGGTTTATATACCATAAGTAATTCCTACAGCCTGTTCCTGTAAAATATCTTCACATTGTGGACAGGTTCCTATAGAAACAAAGTAATCTTTAATGGTGGAGTGAGACTCATGGAAACCTTCCCAACAGGCATGTAGCACTTTGGTCTCTGTCTGGTAGTCAATGTCCTTAACACTTCCAGTCAGCTGACTTTTATCTCCATCATACACATGACCAGCTGTAGGTGGCGTTGTGTCCACTTGGAAAGCCCAGGATGTAGCTAATGTTGATAATCCTGCCTTGTTAAATGCCTAAATAAATAAATATATATATATATATATATATATATATATATATCAGCATTACATGGTCATAAAAATTGAATTTCCTGTATGTACAGAATAAATTATAATTTTATCTTATGACAATTTTATGGACTACATAGTGTATCTAAATACATTTTTGGTTTGAATTAATCAATTTTAGTGCACCTTTACTGCTAACATTTAACTTAATCTACAACTTCTATCTAAGTATCCCTAAATATTATGTATTGAATATCTACAGAAAATATTTAATAAGGTAGATCTTTAAAGTTAGATATATTTATACATTAAAACAATTTCACATACTCAAATGTTTACCGGAATACGAATACGTTTCTTCACCATTATTGCATATAATTTTATCAAAGCTTTACTGAACCGTAACTGAAATTGAATTTAACCATTCTAGAATCTGGTCATGCACACATCTCAAATCAAGTCCATTTTCTTTTATTTGAAATTGTCTGAAATAATTACACCAGTATTTCTAGCTATTTTCTTTTAATAACTTTCAAGTATTTAAAGTTATTGAATTTTCTCTGAAAATCAAACCACTGTATAGAAGATGGACGACAGATACCAGAGGGACAGTCAAACTCATAGATCGAAAACAAACTGACAACTCCATGGTCAAAAATAAAAAGACAAACAGATAAATAATAGTACAGATGACACAACATAGAAAACTAAAGACTAAGCAACACGAACTCCACCAAAAACTGGAGGTGATCTCAGGTGCTCCGGAAGGGTAAGGAGAACCTGCTCCACATGTGGCACCCGTCGTGTTGCTTATGTTATTACAAATCCGGTAAATAGTCTAATTCGGTAGGTCACATTCGTGAAAAGGGAAGGGTATTGTAGTTACGACATAAGGAACATATCCGATATCATCTGTGAAACGGTTATTCCATAACGGTCAACCAACTCGTAATGGCGTCCGTAAAATTTACGAAGAGATGATTTCAACTTCACCCTTTGGAACTCTTGGTTTAATAGCTTCCTTGTGAGCAGCAATCCTCTATCAAGGAAATCGTGATAGAAAATACAAACCCGGAAATATCGTATTAATTAGTAGATATATACTCCGTATGCAGGCGCTACTGGAATGTTGCTACATAGAAATGAAAAGTTTACAATTGCGGAGCTGAAATCATCTCTTTTGTCGTAAAGATTTGTTTTCAACCGACCCTCATTGTCCATTTTCAGATGTAAGTCAAGATATGAGGCAGACCTAATTGTATCTGTAGTATCCTTTATCTCTAGTTTGATGGGATAGATTCGTTCAACATAGTCACCAAATTTTGTATTATTTAGTGAGAGAACATCATCTATATAGCGGAACGTAAAGTTAAAGGATGTTGCGAACTTCTTATCTTTCTTCCTAAGAAGTTCCTGTATGAAGTCAGCCTCATCTATACTATTAAATGAGAAGACCTCATTTTGTGTGTCGCTTCTCTTCCCTCCACAATAAAATAATCATCATGCCTATGTGTCCTATAAGTACCGTGCATAGTCGCATTTGTCATCCTCGCTTATGATTATTCAGTTTGGGCTATTTTGGGAGGAACACGAAAATAAAGGCGTCCGGATATTGTGTCCGTCATCGGACAGACTTTGCAGTCATAGACAAGACTTCCATTTAGAACTGTTTTAAAATTACACATAATTTTCATAAGTACTTGGGGACAGGACAATTATTTTCGCGTTTTTCTGTATACTATGATCATACATATACTATAAATAAAGTGTATTTGCTATTTACTATCAATTCAAATATAATATGTCAGTGACCGCCATGGATAGTAAACTTTGAATTGATAGTTAATAGCCAATACACTTTATTTATAGTATATGTATCTTCATAGTATACAGAAAAACAGAAAACAAAAAAATAACGGACTTTGGAAAAAAGGGAAGGGCTAAACAAAATTGTCCTGTCACCAAGTACCTATGAATTTTGATACCTTTTCTGAAATTCTCCAGTCATAAAATCTTTTCCAAAAATCATCCTACAACAGTTTACATACTTTCAACCACACTCTAAATGCCCGCGATTTCGCGGTTGTGTTCTAGTTATAATAAAGAAACAAGTCGGCAAGAAGAGGGGCACAATTGGTTCCCATTGGAATTCCGACAGTCTGTTGAAAAACACGTCATCCAAACGTAACAAATATGTTGTCAATCAAGAAATCAAGCATCTTGATAATGTCAATTTCAGAGAATTTTTTGTTTGAATCAGAGTGATTCTTTACAAAGTAGGATTTATCCCTCCCCAATACTCATAGACTATAAGTTAAGTTACTCACCCTGACGTTAATATAATAAAAATGGCCATCCTGGAGATCCAAAGGATTATTTTTATCTGTCATTCCACATTCTTCATCAACAACTTTCAAATAGGACATCATATCTGTATATCCAGACTCTGAACCAACTGACCACAGGTAAAAATCTATACCAGACTCTAGGTCAAGGAAAACATCCTTCCAACTTAAATTTGAAACATAATAATTGATGTATTAGTACGAAACAAATGCTCCGGCCTACGGAAAGACGGATGAACATCTAACTGAAACAAATCTTTTTGTGTCTGTCAATCCTTATTACAAGTATTAAAACTTATACATATTATCTATGATGAATTTACTTAATAGGAGATTTGTAAAAGCATTTTTTATAGACATAGATTTATATCAAAGGTTGTACAAGTCATTGATACTTTGACCTTGACTAAACTCACCATACCTATTTCTGTTGTTGATGTCATATACCTGTTGGTTATAATTAACCTGTGACGCAATCTCAACTAACAACAGATCTAATTATGTTGTGGATGTAATATATATCAAACATTAACCCACTCAAAACTTAACACGGATCTATGTAATAAGCATATATATATATATATTAAGTGTAATATGGCTGCTTGTTATGATTAACCTCTGACCCTAACTAAACTTTACCATGGATTTATGTAATATGCCTATTTGTTATAATCAACCTTTAGCTTTGACCCAAACGTAACTTACCACGGATCTATGTAATATGCCTGCTTGTTATGGAAAGTAAAATAACAAAATATTACTGAACTCTAAGGAAATTTCAAAACGGAAAGTCCCTTATCAAATGCAAAATCAAAATCTGAAACTCATCAAACGAATGGAAAACAACTGTCATATTCCTGACTTGGTACAGGCATTTCCTTATGTAGATATGGGTGGATTAAACCTGGTTTAAATAAGTTTTGACCCTAACTAAACTTACCACGAATCTATGTAATATGCCTGCTTCTTATAATTAACCTTTGACCCTAACTAAGCTTACCATGGATCTATTTCTGTTGTGGATGTAATATGCCTGTTGGTTATAATTATCGGTTTATTACTAGTTACAGGTGGAGTTGTATCTATGATGACTGGCTCAGAAACAACCTCTGTTTCTCTGTTAGCAAAATCAATAGCTACAATGTCAGAAACACAATGTTATTCTCACAAGAAAAATTATAGTATTGAATACACATGATTATTCTCTTCCACAATAAATAATATCGCAAATTTTGATTATAACAGAGAAACAGAAACAACAAATTTAAAGAAAATAAAAATCGTTGGATTAAACCTTCAAGCAATTGTCCTAGATGTCAGCATCAATATGTCGACAATTGAAACATGTTAAAGGCAGAATTGATGTAAATAGTTTGACTGTCGGATAATCAATGATAAAACAGCAACAAAAACACAACAAGGCAGAAGATATCTACACTTTAGCATAACTTTTCAAACAATCAACAAGTGTTAAAATTCTTAGTAAATTATGTATTTTAGCACTATACATACTGTTTACATCTTTGTTTAGCAAAAATGTTTTAACTTTAATTATTAATATTTCAGTATAAACTTCATAGCCTTTAACATTCTACCAACCTTTCAGAGTAGCATAATACTTGTAACCATTCTGCAAATTCAGTTGATGTAAGGATTTATGTTGTAGCATTCCAACATTCTCAAAAGCAACTACATCATTACCCCCACTAGATGAACCTGGTAAAATTAAAAAAGGCCACACATTATACACCACTATATGTACCAGGTATCAATATATTAGGCAACACATTATATGCCTGCTAAAAATACTTGGTATAAACATTAATAACTAGATATTCTCAGGGTAATGTAATTTTCAGAAATTTTGTTTAAATGATTGGAGGAAAAATTTGAGAGGTTCTTCTTCAAACATGCTCTCATTGACCACGAAAAGAATAAAAATAAAAAATCCACAATTCACTCCCTTCCATACCCTTACTTAGTGGTTTAGATTAAATAATTCTTCACAATATACCTATACCGTCTGAAACGTATCACATTTACTGAATTACAAGCAATAACATGACTATTCAGGTAGTATTCTTTTCTCACCAATTCCTAGTACGTATTCTTTAATTCCAGATGGGTGTGGTCCATTGTTAAATTCTTCCACATCTTGGAAATTGTCCCAGTTTACATACATGTCTGAGTCAGATGTCTAAAATAGACAATGTCCATAAGAATTTGAAATATGAATCATTTTCACTTTGATCAAGAGAAGCAACAGTCTTACAACTCAGACTAGCAAACACCAAACCACAATAGTGTATGAGATAATTTGGTGAAAAAGCAATGCAGTGTGAATTTTTTTTGATCTTGTAAAATGTATGACGGCTTTTTTTTGGTTATCAAATGAAATTTAACCTTAGATAATTGGTATCTGCTTTAAAAAATTTCAAAACTATCCAACCTTATACATTTAACTGCACAACGGAAAAGACCCAAGATCATCCAAAGGTCAAATAGGGATGGGTTTCCAAAATTGTGGTATTTTCTGGTCTTGACATGCAGCCAAAATTAATCCTGTATCCAGCTTGCGTACAGCTGAGGCGGTCAATGAATGCATGGTTGCTATTTCAATATAAAAAAGATCAGAAGTTTTGCCGATCTTTTTACAGGGCTTTCACCTGCACAGGTACACTTTTCCGGTCATTATAAGAGAAATATGGAAACGTTTCTCTAAAAAACCGGCCCTGCTTTAATACCTCTAATTATCATTACAGTCCATATTAATTACTACTGATTCATTATTCTTTGTGGATTGAAAAAAAAATTATATTTTCAAGGATATTTGATTTTGTAGTTTTGCTAAAGTATTTATTTTCAAAGCCATTTAAGAAAACAGTTGGTGGAGATACAAAATATTTGGGATTGATGGCCAGTAAGACATCATTAAGATTCTAATATGACTTGCTTCTTTCGGTTTGTAAACAACAGCGCGATAAAATTCTCGATATATTCATACTTAGCGCAGACTCAGAGATATACATATTAATGGCTGTTACTATTTACATCCCACGTAAATCCACATGTATTGTAACCTATGTGCAAACACTATGTGAATTTCGTTGTGTTTAAATTGAAATTAAAAAATAAACTACAAAACCGTTATTTTCCTATTCTAATGCATAACAAAAAGAATCAATGCATAAGATCTTAAAAAATGTATAAAATCAAAATAAAATTAAATTCTGCGAAATATCATGAATGATCTTGGCGCATTAACGTCATGTCAAAACATGACGTCATATGAATGAAAACTCTCAAGCTGAAGATTATTCCGTTACGTGTACGTTCTAAATTTGAATAATATCGCATTAAAATGGAGTTTTGATGTAGCTGTTGTTTCATTTTCTATTCTATTGCATCATTCGCGGATTTATGGATTTCAGCAAGTCAACATGGTGGCTCACTCCTTTGGTACGACATGTCAACTGTGGATTTGACAGTAAATAGTAGTCAACGAAAAAAATGTTTGGGCTAAGAGTTATATGGATTGAACACATTTTTTTCTAGCGGTTATTGAAGAAGCAATTAATGCAAGACTTAGATTTATTTGAAATTTGTAGCTTTCATCTTTCAGGGGTTAAAATAGAACAGCCCTACACAAGGCAATCTTACCGCTTCAGTTTTTCAAATTACCGTATTTATCCTATTAGAATCAAAATAATTCATGCAAGCCATAGATTTGTTATCCTTTTCACATGGCTGAAAATGTCCAAGTAATATATGGCTTGTATGAATTATTTCTTAAACAACCAGAAACACAAGGTCTAAGGATGAGGAATACATACCTGATAGACTGTATTTAGATTATGACCAATCCACAATCTTCCAGCGGTAGGAGGAGTTAAATCTACGATTATTCCATCACTACATGCACTGACAGCTGGTAATTGTTGTATCCATTCTTCATTCACTAAAGCAGTCTGATCAGCATGTATACACACTGTGTATCTTGTACCATGGACCAGTTCGTTGTGTGTGAACTCTTCATTCATAAATTCTCTATCTATAATGAAATTATTGATGATATTAACAAACTCTGCAGTTAAACATATGATATTTATGAAATCACTGTTTCTTCATTCATTAATTTTCTAATCTATTTCAATTCATTAAAACGGAGTATATATATCAGATAAGAATACCAAAAGACTAAAATTTTAGAAGTAATGCTTGTGAGAAAATGTTCTAGTTATCTAAAAGTCAGATGCCAAACCTTTTTCTTCTGTTTTCTGCTCATGAATTATTCCAATTGTAAAATTTTGTGCAAAATTCTCTTATTTTGTAAGGTTTATACATCATGTACACGGTAAAATCGTTATTATTTCAATAGAACGACTACTAATGGATAGAATTCTGAAACAACATATGAGTCAAAAGCTTTTATGGAATGCTTTCAAGGAATATAAAGAAAAAAGGGTCACAACATTTTTCTGCTACGTGTATGTAACAAAAGGATACATTCACTGTAACTACATTATTTGTGTTATCTTGCCCTAAACAGTAACACTTTTTTTAAATTTTTACTCACACTTTTATGTTCTGTTTTTGAATAAAAACAAATCATAATTTCATAAGACGAATTCAAATAACTTACTTGTTAATGAGATGTCAAATAAATCACAATTCATTTTTGCATTATAAATTTTTTTGCAGCAAAATCTTAACTGATTATTTACAGTCATTTTTGATCTAATATGGCAGGATATGCCCATTCGACCTTTAAAAACAGAGTAGTCGACTTCGATTTGAATAACTTGGATTTCTAAAGAACACTGACCTGAAAAAATGTTATGGATCTGGGCTGAAAACTTGTATAAAACAGTAACTAGGTGGAGTTATTCATTCAACAATTAATAAATGACAATAATATTAAATTGATTTTTCCCTTTCAAGACCTATAAAAAAATATTTTGCAGACTGTGTTTCAGTTAATTCATTAGGCTGTAATATACTTAAAATCCAAGTATTAATTGGTTTGGGTCAAACGTTTTTTAAAGTATTTTTAGAGAAAGGTAAACATTTAAAATCCACTATAGATAAATATTTTCATGACATGCCAACGTTAGAGAGTTTGTGTATGTTTCTTTTTTAAATTGACGCTTTGGTGTATAGCTGAATATGAATTTGTATATGAAATCGAAGATACCATTTATATTTTTGATTAACAATAGATTTGCTGTAGTTTTGGTTATATTGGTAAAACAAAATTGTTCATTTGGTCACTTGTTGCACAGAAGTAATACATGAAGTCAAAATTTGCTGAAAATAATTTTCATTTCATTGTACTACAAATTCTCCGCCATCTTGCGTTTTTATACTATTCAACAAAACATTACCAAAGGGGTGGATAGAACTCAGCTCAGGTGAAAAGGTCAAAATGATGACGTTTCAGAGTTACTTTTCATCACTCAAGTAACCTTAGTTCATCAAATCAAAGTCGACCAGGGCATTGTTCTCATAACATGACCCAAAGGGAGACAAAACTTACGAGTTTCCCCACATCTGATAGCGTCAGGGATACATGGATCTACCAATTTCAGCTGACCAACTTGTTTGTAGTACGTTGTAACATCAACATTCCTGGCATCTATAATGGCATATTTGTAATTGACATTCTCTCCGTGACGGAGAGTGGGCCACACTGCTGAGATAAGATTTTTGTATGGTGTATAATCCTCGTCTGTTAGCTTCCATCTATCATTCTCTTCCAAATAAATTGGAATGCCTACTCCATCTTAAAAAGTGTATAAGACAGAAGGTATGTTAACAATAGAATTAGCTCATACTGAGTTATTTCTAAGTTTTATTGTTCCAAGAGTGCACTTCATCAGCACATTCATGTTGTTCAGTCTTTAGTTTTCTATGTTGTGTTTTGTACTATTTTTAGTTTTTCGCCATGACATCGTCAGTTTGTTTTCGACCTGAGTGTGAATATCCCTTTGGTATCTTTCTTTACTTTTGTATAAACAAATTGTTTTGTTTTTCTAATTTGTATTTTTGAGAGATAATTTCAAACAAAAGAAAAGCCTAATTTAAATTAATATATCATTTCTTGATGATCCTTATCTGACAAAATCATTATTAATGTTCTTATTGATAAAGGAAAATGAAAACTGTTATCGCCCAACTAAAAGATCTTCAAAAATAATGTGGACCACAAACTATCCAACGAATATTTATTTTGTTCATAGTAAGTGTTCATCAACAAGTTCATGCATGATCCACTCTAATTTTTTTTCTGAAAGAAAACAATATACAATGTACAAGTTTTTCACATAGAAAACGTACAATTTGAACAGTATATATATATATATATAATAAGTGAAAAACAAATTATACCAGAAAGCACTGCCTTGAAATAAGCCAACAACTTTTTTTTACCATAAAAGTAAAAAGATACTGACCATTTGCACTGGGAGCTCCCACAGCATCTATCACAATGTTCGGGTTGATAAGGATTGGATTAAATGCTTGACAATTTTTGATATCTGTTGATACAATGGAGTTTAGTCTAACTTGGTCGTATCCTCTGATAGAAAACCTTTTACAACGAGAGAAGTCCATCTCTCCTGTTAATACCATTTCAAAATTGATCTGAAATTAAAAAGTTGGTATTAAGTCACTTTTATTAATATCTAAAATTTCACAGTTAGAAACCTCTAGTATTACATTCTGCTTTTTCCAATTCATCTCATACCGGGAATGAATATAAAGTGGATCCTAAGAAAATTTGTCCACTGACACTGACACTGAGACTGGTTATGAATTCCAAATGTGGACGTTTCATAACCAAGGGTATCAAAACAGCCCAGTAGTCAGCACTGTGTTTGACATGAAATACCATTAATATGTAAATTTACTGTTTATCAAATAAAATAATAATAAAAATATTTGAATCGCTAGGATTTTTCTACATCAAGGTATATGTTGCCTTAGCCGAATTTGGTTATTCTTTTAATTTGTTTTTTGTTTTTATTAATGCTATTCAATTTGGTTTTTAATTTGGCAATCCAACTGTTTTGATTCGAGCATCACTGGTGAGTCTTATGTATATATGAAACACAAGCCTGGTGCACCATATTAATAACCTGGTATTTTTTATGAGATTTTCTACAGGTTAACTTACTGGTGAATGGGAAAACACACATTAATACTTGTTATTTAAAGAAACTTTGTAATCTTCAGTATTCATTTCCATCATTACCTTAATCAAACTATTTTCAAAATGGACTTTTCAGGCATGCATAAATGAAATTATCTTGTAAGGATTTTACAGTTATAATGTTACTGTTAAATTGTCTCACCCTATTTCCATTTGTTGAAAATGTGTTTAAGTTAGTCCATGTGATATATGTCTTCCCTTTGTCAGAGTTGTCTGTCACTGCATATTCATATTTCCAGATGGCGCTGTATTTCTCTGTTATGTTTTCAATATCAGGATCATAAAACTTATCAAAAGATACTATCAACTGAAGTAAAAATAAATTTATTTTCGTCAGGGATATTGACTGTATTTGACTTACACGAAAAATCATTAATTTACTTTAAGAACAACAAAAAGTAGAGAAAATAACAATCTGAATGTGTTACCTTTCTGCTTGCCAAAACCTACCAACGTTTTCAGCGTTTAACTTTAAATGTCTGAAATTATTTTTGAAATTACTGCATGCATGCATTTTGGGCAATAGTAAAACACTGTACGTTTGGGATACCAACATAGGTGTTATCTAGTCCCAAGTCAGAAAATATAATGCTGGGTCAGAAAGTGAATCTCTCACCCAAACATAATTTCTTCCACTGGATTATAAGAATATGCACAGCTCAGGAAGGTCCAATTTTTGGTCTGCATAAAACCGAGTTTAAGAAATTGTACTGCCAAATAACCTACTTTATTTACTTCCTAAATCTGCATCAGTTTCAAAATTATACAATACTAGAAGAGTTTTCTTTGTACAAACCTTCTCAACCCCACCAGTTACTGTGGTGTTTAGATGTTCCACAGTTATGTCCCCTGTAACCGGAGGATTAGCCATTACCATGACACCATTTGTACTGACTGGAGAGAAACAGAACGTCCTGGCACACAATGTCAGTGCTATACGATACTTCATACCTGGACTGAGTACCAAATCATCTATGCTGATGTCAAAAACTGTGGATACATGTACATAATCACGAAAGGTTGTCCATATGTCTAAAATAGATGACCCTTGGTTAATATTGAATTATTAATATCAAATGAGAATAAAGAGTATATATACATGTCATTAAAAAAATATTCAAAAATATCATAAGTAAAGAGTAATAGTAGTTAGCAAACAATGAAATTATAAATGATAATTACTTTCTTTTTTTCAAAACATTGTCTCATATGAGAAGTTAGTGATTTGTTGTTTGTCTTATTTTATCACATGCATGTATCAGCTGTTTTCCTCTTACGTTACAGAGCTCGCAATTAACTTCCAATTAAAAAGAATCTTAATAGGTCCAAAACTTTGTTTTGATTGTAACAAATTTCTTTTCAATTTGACAAAAGACTTTTTTTTTTTTTTAATTTTATTGATCTTTTTGGTGTTCAAACTACAGTGCATACATACATTATTACAAGACATAAGTGAATGACATTACATTTATGGCATTGTTATACTATTGTTATTATGCAATTAAGACATAGTAAAAATTTACAAGTTTAGGATGTGAATACACAGTATATGATACATCTTAAGAAGACTTTGGAGTTCATTAAATATATAATCATATTCAAAATAAATTAAATAACTTCCATAAATCCCCCCATCTGTCAACAAATGACTTGTGTTTGTCTTTCGAAAGATATAAATATTCTAAAATTTCCAGACGTCTTTCCAAAAATTTAAGAAAAGTTTGCACAGATATTAACAGTCTGTCTTATTGTGTGTTCTTTACATAATTGATGTAATACTTTGCCTGTAGAATACAATAATTTAAAACTAAGTTATCAGAATTTAATACACCAAAAATAACACTGTCTTTATTCAAAAATATTCTTACTCCAAAAACTAATACCACCAATTAGAAAATTCTCTCCAAACTTGTTTTATTTTTGTACATTCAAAAAATTTATGCTCTATAGTTTCTATTTCTTTACAACTGGCACATTCATTAGTTAAGGAAAGTTTATATTTTTCAAGAAGATAATTATGTGAGACTATTCTGTGTAAAATTTTATATTGGAAAGCTTGTAGTTTGCTTTTCATTTCAAAGCCAGTGAATGAATATTTTTCCAAATTTTCATCACTAATTTCTGTATTAAAACTTTCTTCCCACCTTTGTTGTGAAATAGGAGAAACATTCATAAGATTAAGAAATAAATTGAACCGTAAGAAAAAAGATTGTTTAATTTTAAAGCTGAAGAATAACAAATCAATCTTCAGTATAAAATATCTACTGATTTCTAATACTTTGATTAAAACACAATTGATGAGAGAAAATGTCTGAAAGACAGTTATATTGTGAATCAAATTAACTCCCCTTTCCTTACAATTTTGAAGCTGAAAAATGGTCCAACATTACTGCAAGAAATTCAACCTATGAATGAACATACTTCCAACAGTTGATCTTTGTTCCACAGCAATAAAGGCATCCGTTGTATAAGGTTTTATATTGTTTGGTACTGCCCAGTATGCCTTGAGTGAATTCAGTGACAACTGGAAATCAGGTTCCTCTTCACAGTTTATTCTGTTGTCCTGCAAAATAAATATTGCTATAAAAATAGGAGTACTATATTAGTAGTAGTAATATATCTGGTGACATTTTCAGCTAACTAGTAATTTGCATTACATATTATTGAAGCTAAAAAAGACTAGCCCGAATTATTTCACTATCCCAAATATTCTCTCTTTTTTTAGAGAGTGGGAAAGCGGGCAAACATTATATATATTTATTAGCATCAAGGAATGAACTTTTACTATTAAATGTGTGTTGTTGTCTTTAAATAAATTGATTTAAATAGGAATGAAATAAGTAAATATTACATCTTCAACTCATTGGTCGTTAATCTTAACAACTATATTAAGTGACATACCTCTTCATGATGGTCCACAAATAGATCTGCAAAAGACAACACTCATGTTGACTGCTGAACAAAATTACAATAATGGCAAAGCAAAACAAAGTTGCAGTGTTAATATATATTTATCCCCCCTATCATATGTTTCTTTGGAGAAATTGTTTCAAACAATCCTATGACATTTATTCCAATTTGAACAAATATTCTTTACCCTATATACCCTTTAAACCACAAGGAAATAGCGCAACACATTTAAGAATTTCCTACAACTGACCACTAGATATACTTTTAAAACAACTAAATGACTTTAAATAGTATCTCTGACAGTGTTAACTATTTATAGGAAAACTCGACAATGCCTGTAACAAAATAAATTTCATGATGTGGAAAATACATGAGTAAATAACTTATCTTTTGTTGAAGACGGCATGTTGAAGCTCAATCAGCCTCATTGGTTTGCTGTCTCATTGACGTTTTCTGCTTTATCACATTTTTTCATAAATGTCCTATGTATACAAGATACCTATTTTTGCTGCTGTACCCCTATTTTTGACATTTTTATCTATTATGTCTGTTTGTTTTGTTCACACATTGTTTTCAATATAATTGAATTGTATGCGACTGTCATACAAGTGAGAGGTTTAGCTAGCTATAAAACCAGGTTTAATCCACCATTTTCTACATAAGGAAATGCCTGTACCAAGTCAGGAATATGACAGTTGTTTCCATTCGTTTGATGTGTTTGAGGTTTTTATTTTGCCCTTTTGATAAGGGATTTTCAGATTTGAATTTTTTCTTGGAGTTGGGTATTTTTGTTATTTTACTTTTTTCTAAAACATAGACAATTTTTAAATTCATGCACTTTCTTGTACACGTCCTATGTCACAATGCTTATATTAATATGTCACAGTAAGGACCGATTGCTCAATGACGTCATTTATACCGATTATCTTGGGCCAATCGCTGTAACTCTTCATAAAAACAACTCGAGATTGGTCTATGGTTGAATATAAAATCTTAACATTTGTATACTTCAAAAACACAGAGTCTTCTCTCTTAAAATAGCACAAATCAAGTACTAGTATTATATACTCACCCGTCATATTACAGGGGTCTCCATCACTGATTACAACTCCGGGCAGAATATCACCTTCTGTTACTATGGTAATACCATCAGAAGATACAGCTGTGTTACCTGCAGAACTTTCAGCAGTCACAGTAAAATAATATGTCTACAAAAATACAGAAACAAGCATGACAAGAATATTCCTCTAATATACTTAACTGCCTATGCCGTCTCTTGTGAGAGTGCTCGCCTCGAGTGTGAAAGGTCGTGCGATTAAACCCCAGCCTGGGGTAACCAAAGACTTGTAAATTAATATTTGTTGCTTTTCCACTAAGCACGTTGCATTTAGGAGTAAGAACAAAGAATAATCATATTGGAGTCAGTATAATTTGTTTAGGTAGGGTGACATGTCTTCCTGGGGACTGTTACCTTGTTAACTATAACGTTACAATTCTGGCTTAGAGTATTGGCCTAGTACAAAACAGGGTGTATATTCATATCACATGATCATGTTCTTGTCCTGGATATGCTTGAATTTGACACTGGATGTTCAACATCCATTAACTATACATTACAATGACTTTTAAGTAAGAATTCTGAAAGTCAGTGGTTGTCGTTTGTTGCTGGATATCATATCTGTATTTCGTTCATTGTTTTTGGTTGAGAGTTGTCTCATTGGCAACTATACAATATCTTCTTATTTTTATATATGACTTTAAAGTAATTAATCGTAGACAAGCTGGAAAAAGGAGCTAACAACCAACTTGCTAACAGTTTCTGAAATAATATTTGTGTTCATCAAAAAAAAATCATCTTATAAAGTATTAACAATAGAATCTACATATCTGGGATACACACTGGGTTCTAGTAAGCTAGACTACATTTCTCACAGATAAAACATCAATTCTTCTAACAATAATATGGATACTTAAATTGATTCGTGATTATAACCTTATAAGTTATCAGAGATAGTCCAGGCTCCTTGTGAGCTGAACTGGTATTCATTTTCTTTTTATATCCAATAACCCAAATATTTATTCTGACTAAAGAACATTACTTGATACGGTGTCAGAGACAGTCCTGTTTTCTTATCAGCTAGACTAGTACCGATATATTTCATAGATATAAGATCATTTGCTTCTGTTGTAATATAATTATTAATACTGGTTAAAACAAAAGTATTACCTGATAAGGTGTCAGAGATAATCCTGTTTCCTGATGAGCTAGACTGGTACCCACAGCCTTCATAGACACAACATTACTTCCTCCCATTGTAGTACCAATACTTAAACTATAGGTAACATCTAAATGAGGATGTGCAAATCCTGACCAACGGGCAGCCATACTGCTTGTGACTTTCTGGAAATCTGTATCTTCCGTGTCCTAAACATACAATGTGTCAATGACAGTGATGTACTAATAATCGGCATAAAAAGGGTTCAAGGTATACAACCACTAATTCATAGCCCCATTGCTTTCTATGTTAAATTCTGCATTTCAAGCATTAATGGCTACTTTGTCTTAAGTTCAAATAAAGTAGCAGTTATTTCATGTCAAAACTATACCTTATCCTGACTTGTGCTGAAAAATCTAACATACCTTTAATTGCATATTAGAGCGTACTGGTTCCCGGAAGTTTGATAGTACAAAAACAGGTACTTCTGATCTGACCAACAGGGCAAATGTGCCCTCCTATTAAAATTGTATATACTTCTTTATTATTCAAAAGAAACAAGGGTTCTACAGTGATCCAAAGTCCCCAAGCTTTCATTTGATTCCAAAACTACCCAAACATTCCATCTATTGACAAAGATACAGCTATGCGTAGGAACTATTTTGTTTAAAATATGTACTACTTTCTTGTATGTTCTTTCCGACCGGGCCTTAATTAGTGGTTCTATACCTCAAAAGAAGCTTTCCTATCATAATCTATGGAACAGATTCATTTTTGGTTAAACAATGAACTGGTGAAGTTCCTTATTTTATTAAGCAAAAACAAAGAAAACTAGAATTGCCATTGCAAGCAATAGCGGATGTCACCCTTCCCCCATTGCCACTAATCGGCAGCCATTTCAAAAAATTTAGTGAATGCATATATATATGCATGTACATCTTTCTGTAAATTTTCAGTACATTCAGAGCATTTTTAAAAATTCACATTTTTGCGGTTTCCATGGCAACGGCAGCCATTTTGAAAATTTCAAAGTCAAAAGTGTCATCTTTACTTGCCAGTTAACAATCCTATCAAGTTTCATTAATTTGAAAGCATTTTGAAAATTTTTGACATTTTTGCAGTTTCCATGGCAACGGTGGCCATTTTGGAAATTCCAAAGTCAAAAGTCTCATCCAGACTTGCCAGTCAACAATCATATTAAGTTTCATCAATTTTGGTGCATTTTGAAATTTTTGAAATTTTAGACATTTTAGATGGTTCCTATGGTTACAGAGACCATTCAAAAAATTTATTGGCAGATACCACATTGGTACATGGGAGGGAACAAACCATCAACATTTCAATGGATTTGACCTACCATATTAAGAAAGTAAATGCCACTTTAAGTTTTTTTTAGCATTTTGACCTGTTTTGCATTGTTTCCATGGTAACGGCAGACATTTTCGATATTCCAACGCCAAATTCTTTATCTACCAATGTTGCTCATCGTTACTGTGAAGTTTTATTAAATTTGGAGCATTTCGATATTTTTGAAATTTTTGGTGTAGTATCCATGGCAACATAGCAGTTCCAATGATTGCCAAAATCATCCCAAACCAGTATATAGTGGGCACCTACATTGTATCAAAATCTAAAGATTTTAAGTTTAAGCATTCTCAAATAATTCAGCGAACACCAAAATGATATTTTTTCAACATTTTTCAGTTTCCATGGTGATGGCAGCCATCTTTTAGTTCCAAAGTTGCACTGCAACTGGAAAGTCAGGGTTCCTTGTTATAGTGAACCATCATTCGGATTTGTAGCTTTGGCTCTGAGAAAGCGGGCGGACAAAATTAGGTGGAAGAAAAATAATAATAATAATAATAATAACTAGATTTGCCATTGCAAGCAATAGCGGATGTCACCCTTCCCCCATTGCCACTAGATATCAGCCAGTTTAAAAATTTTAAACAGTGAATGCACATATATACTGATGGCTATTCACTCTCTGTAATTTTTTAGAACATTTAGTGGATTTACAAATTTTACGCATAATTTTTTCCTTGTTTGCCTTGTTTCCATGGTAACAGCAGCCATTTTGGAAATTCCAACGCCAATTGCCGCTTCAACACAGAGCAGCAACAGTCAACATTATTGTGAAGTTTCATTAGGTTTGAAGCATTCTGAAATTTTTTAAATTTTTGCTCCTGTATCCATGGTAACATAGTAGTTCCAATGATTGTCAAAATCATTCAAAACCTGTATATAATAGACACCTATATTGTATAAAAATTTGATGATTTTAAGTTGAAGCATAACAAAATTATTCACCAAACCCTGAAGTTTTTGGAGCATTTTGACCATTCTGCATTGTTTCCATGGTAACAGCAGCCATTTTGGAAATTCAAACTCTAAATGCCACATCTTCCAATGTTGCTCATCGTTACTGTGAAGTTTCATTAAGTTTGGAGCATTTTGATATTTTTCAAAATTTTGGTGTAGTTTCCATGGCAACATAGTAGTTCCAAAGATTGCCAAAATCTTCCAACACCAGTATATAGTTTGCACCTACATTGTATTACAATATAATGATTCTAAGTTTAGGCATATCCAAATAGTTCACCAAAACCCAAAACTGGATTTTTTCACATTTGTTCCGTTTCCATGGTAACGGCAGCCATTTTTTATGTTCTAAAGACCTACTGCAACCCGAAATTTTGTGTTCCTCACTATAGTGAACTATCATTAAGATTGGTTCCATTGGCTCCAAAAAAACTGCCGGACAAAAATCATTGGAAGAATAATAATAATAACAAAGAAACAGAGGAAAAGCAATATGTCACCCGACATTGTCGATCGGGTGACATAATAACTAGATTTGCCATTGCAAGCAATAGCAGATGTCACCCTTCCCCCCATTGCCTCTAAGCGGCAGCCATTTTGAAAATTTTAAACAGTGAATGGACATATATGCATGGCTTTACATCTTTCTGTAAATTTTCAGAACATTTGGAGCATTTTTAAATTTTTACACAATTTTGCTGTTTCCATGGCAACGGCGGCCATTTTGGAAATTCCAAAGCCAGAAGTCTCATTTATACTTGCCAGTTAACATTAATATTAAGTTTCATAAAGTTTGGAGCATTTTGAAGTTTTTGAACATTTTTGAATTTGTGCTGTTTCCATGGTAACAGTAACCGATTCTAAAATTTTAAAGACAGATGCCACTTTGGCAGATGACCAGGAATATACCATGAAAGAATCATGGAATTTGACCTACCATAATAAGTGAGTAAATGCTACTTTTAAGAATTTCCCATAGGGGCTAATGGTAAATTTTTATCCAGTTTCCATGGTAATGGCAGCCATTTTGGAATTTCTAAATATGGTCAACACATCTTGGCATGCCAGGCTACATTCCATTTAAGTTTCATCCAGTTGGGTCTCATAATGAAAGATTAAATGGATTTGCAATTTTTATTTTTTTTTTCACATTTTTTCTGTTTCCATGGTAACGGCAGCCATTTTCTAGTTCAAAAGTTGCACTGCAACTCGAAAGTCAGGTTTCCTTGTTATAGTGCCCCATCATTTAGATTGGTTCCTTTGGCTCTGAGAAAACGGGCGGACAAAATTAGGTGGAAGAAAAATAATAATAATAATAATAATAATAGGGAAAAAGAAACAGAGGAAAAGCAATATGTCACCCGACATTGTCGTTCGGGTGACATAATAATAGGGAAAAAGAAACAGAGGAAAAGCAATATGTCACCCGACATTGTCGATCGGCTGACATAATAAACCAATAAATGCCTTTAGAATATTTGTAAATGATTCCAACACATAACGTTAAGCTTACTTTGTATACATACCTTTAAAGGAATGTCCGTTGAGAAAGACTGCAAGATATAAAAACAAACCAGAAATTTATTAATGCATGCATCACATTATTCTGAGATTAATAAAGAGTATGGCTCTCTTTTTTCATATACAAAGACATTGTATAACTCAAAATGTGTTTATGCTTCATTTCATGTATCTCCATTTTGTTCTTGAAATGAAGTAAACTAAACAAAGAATTGGATGTCAAATTGAAATTTCTGTATTTTGAAAGGCGCATTTACGTTTTTTTTTTAGATTGACCTGCCACATGCTTTGCCTATTTTTCAATATTTAAAGGACCATTACTTTTGAAAAGCAAAATTGAAAATCGTCAAAGAAAATCGTCAATATTCAACATGACCACAATTTTGTCATCAGTTACAGCATATTTAAATTATAAGAGCATTGGTTGGACGGTTTATAGTAGCTCATAGACATAATTTTGCCATGTGACCATGACGTCATCAACGTTTTTTTCATGATTTGGTCCTTAAAAATGGAATTTAGAATTAAATCATGAGGACTGACTGTAATATTTTTTCTGTCTATTCGAAATAACCTTTACAATGTGGTGCACCACATTTTTGATGTTATTTCTTCATAGACAGAAAAAATATTACAGTCATTCCTTAACTAATACTCCTGAACATTAAAAAATGCAAATCACCAATATCGAACTTGACCACTATTTTGTCATCAGTATCAACACATTGAAACTGTAAAAGCATTGGTTGAGTTGTTAATACACATAAAAGTAATAGCACGGAAAGGACATAATTTGCCAAGTCTTACTATAAAATATATACCTCAGTGTCAATATCAAGGATAACTCCCTCTGCAGGTAACATGACATCATGAATGTATGGAGTGGATGTCTGAATATTGACCAGTCCAGCTGAATTGGTCACTTTAATGGATATATAGTATGTATGATGTCCATGAATATTCCATTCAAGATCCGTTATATTAACAGCTGTACAAGTTGGGGATAAGGTCAACACACATGTTGTACTGCCCTGTACAGGTTTAAAGCTTTGTATCTCTGTTCCATATGGTGTGTGACCTAGAAACATAATTAAAATCATAGTTCAAACGAAAAAACCTTTACCAAAACAATGTCATTGTGACCTGGACTATTCAAGTCATTTAACATTTGGAAAAGTTTATTTGATACAATTTTGTTAGGAATATTAAGTTCAAACCCTAGTAACGATCTCTCTTAACGAATAATTCCTCACCTGGGGGTAAATAAAAGGAATTATAAGACATTGAAAACTGGCATTTATCCGAAAAATGTGGTCAGTGAAGCTGAATTACCGTCACAGTGCATATAATTCAAGAAAATAAAAATAAATATGATTTGTTAATTCTCTCTATACCTAAAGCAAACTGGTAATCCATATCAAACAATTCTTCACTATCTGAAAAAGCATTTGATGTCCAGGAGGCTACCAGATATTCTCCAGACAGGGATACAGATATAGAACCAGTAAAATCTGGTGGAGTTGTATCCATAAAACATGGTCCCAGTGTCTGAAAAAAACATTTAACACTGAAAAATATTGATTGTTGTTTGCCCAACATCAAATGGCAAATATTTCATGCATATATATATAAAGCACTTAAAAAAATAGACATCAAGATAAATAAACTATGAACACATTTAGACTAAGTAATAAAAAAGGATAAAACAAATTGCTTGAAAGATATGAAATTGAGTTTGAAAACCAGTAAATATCAACTTGAACTTTAAATTGCATGTACCATGAGACATGCATTTTTTTGTGTTGTTTTTATTATTTAGGTATGTTTAACTTTCAAGTGTAGTTCAGTGTTGATATGTTATTTATGATATTTCCGGTATTCTTTTTCAATACATCACAACTTATCACTGTCAATCATTTATGTCTTCGGCTTCAATTTCAATATACAACTTCTTTTAATTCAACAAGACCAATGCCGCAGCTGGCCCGCTGTTCGTGAAGCAGTTATGTACACATTTGTACTATATCAACTATATCTACAGTTATGACATATGACCAAAACGTACAGTTAGTCCTTCTACATTAGATTTACTGATAGTTTTTATAATGATGTAGATCTCAGTGGCATCCGGTATATTGGCATGGGTCACCCTGACATGTGCATGTTGTTTTGTCGACTCAAACGCCATGATATCAGGCGCCGAACTTCCTTCTGTCAAAGAGAATCCAACTTCATAATCAAATATTTTGGCTGGTATATCTAATGGTTCCCATGACATCTCCATCTATAATACAGAAGTATCAACATCACATACATACTCCTGTATGAAATATTCCACACAGAATGTACAAGGAATATAGTAGGAATATTGCATTGAATTCCTACCAGAAAAGAGTCATATTCTAGTCAGAAAGTAGTAGGAATCCACACGAAAAAAAGCCAAAATATTTAAATTAGCAGGAATAATTCGGCGGGAAAATAAAATTCCTACTAGAAAACCTGGCAGGAATTTTTCAAAATTCCACTTAGAAAAAAATATTTTCTAGTAGGAATCTTAAAATATACAAAATGTAAGTGTATATTCACAAATACACAACTGGGTCAATCATTTAAGTTTGAATCACAACAACAAAAAACAAAGGAAATGCATGGAATATATTCATTTAAAAAAGTTGACTTTTGAAATGTACGAGATAGCTGTGATATATCCAAACATATATGTAGATGGGCAAAAATGTTGATTCTAAGATGAAATTAAAATGTTATGAACAATTAATGAGTAAAATTATGCACTATTGTTGAATTAACTGATTACTGAATATATTGGCAAACAGATCAAAAATTTCATCTTAAAAGTATAAAATTTACCTTCAATCTACATGAGCGATATTTTCTCATATTTCAATATTGTACTTGTTTAACCCTTGCAGCATATTGGATTACAACACAACTTTTCATTCTTCTACCCTCAACTTTTGAATTTGTGAACTGGAACTTGTTTGCATTTAACACAGTAACAGTAAAGTTTGTGTCATTAGCAAACAGGAATCCAGTTTAAGATAATTAAAAAGATTCCATGTAGAAAGATTTTCTAGTAGGAATAAATTAATTCTGGTAGGAATCTTGTAGTAGGAAAATGAATAATCTTAAAATATTTTCTGTCCAAATTCCCCCTTAAGATTTTCAAAACAGAAAAAAATCCATACAGACTTTTAAAATTCCAGCTAGATGGTAGGATTTTGCTAGTGGAGAAAATAAAAAATCCAGTCAGAATTTTGTTCATTTTCCCTGTCCGCCTACTTTCTACATAGAATCTTTGATTCTAGGTGGATTCCTACTACATTCCTACTAGTGTCTAGATGGAATCCTACTATTTATTTCGTACGGGTTACTGTCAGAAATGTGAACGAAGGATGACAAAACTCTTTGTAGAGGATCCAAAGCATCTTTTGCTATAAAGCTAAAAGGTTATCATGAAAGTTAAAGGTAGAATCGGTCTTTTTGGCCATCTTGGATTGAAAAATAGCAAAACACAATAGGTTTAGGTTTTAAATCGGCAGCTAAATTTGATGCAGAATTCAGTCTGATTAAAATACAGATCATGCGGCCAAGCTTTGCTTACATTGATCTAAATACGCTCCGTTCTACTTTCTGTTTTAAAGAACTTTAAAGAACTTTTTGGATCATCTGACTATATTGGATTAATACAAACTTTCAAAAATTTGAAGGTTAAAATTTTATAGGCTGATGAAATAATTACCAAAACAGAAAATAAAACGAAGTGTTGTTTACATACCAGAGAAACTTTAGACAAACTTAGACCAATATTGCTAGGTACACATGATAACGAAGCAGAGAAGCTTTAGACAAACTTGAACCCATAATGCTAGGTGCACTTGATTACGTACCAATGAAGCTTTACGCAAACTTAGACCAATACGGCTGGATGCACTTGATGAATTACTGCAAAATATATTGCCATCTACTTCTATCAAGCTGCCATTTTTAGCAAATCTCTGTAGAGGGTAAAGGTCAATGTCACTCAAGGTTGTAGCTTTACTCCTGTTAAAGATATTATAAAAATGTTTTTTTTTTATAATTTGAGACCAAAACTAAACATTATAGAATGCAAGTTATGTATAAAGTTACATAAATTCAATTTAAGCTGTTTTGTTGTTTATGAAGCATTTCAATAAAGTCAAAGATCTATTGATATACTTTAAATCATACTCCTTGAGGTTGAAAATCCCTCTCTGATAAAGAATATTCTCAGAAATCTAACGTATTCTACACTTTTAAATTATTCAAGTGCATCATATACATCAATTTTGATTAAAAATGTAGCATCAAAATAATTTTTATTCTCAATAGGTTCCATAACACAATCTGTCGTAAATGAAAAATCATAATGGTTGACATTTATGAAAATAAACGGTTCAGACCGCTTAAGCTTGTTTTTGTCTAAAAGTGATAGAACATTAGTGAGTGGAATAATCAAGTCAATTATATTTATGATTGAGTATTTATCGAAAAATGTGAAATAATACATGCAATGTATAAGCTTGACCTGTGTATAATTGTCCTTAAAAATAAATCCAAATGCAACTGATTTCCACATGGCCGACTTCCATTACTTAATTAAACCCAAAACAGAAGGACACATGGCAGGACAGTAGGAATGATTGATACTCAAACTCAATATAACTTACTGTAGAAGAAAAATACCATGATATATAATTAAAGATATCACATCAGGTTTTTGTACACCAGGATTGTTTAAGTAAAAAAATCTGATATGCATTGTAAATACTTACACACAGTCAACAGTGGGATTTGGGATCAATCTCCGGATACGATCTGATCCGAGGATATAGTAACTAGTCTGATTGACATCTGTCACTAATCCACCAGTAATCACTGCATCTTTAACAACCACCTCCTTAACTCCTGGAACAGAACTGTCTATAGTTACACCGTCTGAACACACTGGTTCTGAAGGGTCTAGGGCCCTGTTATAGGCCACAACAGTGAAATAATAGGTTCCATCTCCACTGACTGTGTGGCTACCAAAGGTGTTGTATGTCTCCACAATCTGAACAAATTTACATTATCATTACTATAACTATATTAATAAGTCAAACTATCTACCATTCATTTATAAGTTTCTATAATTAAATGTTTAGGAGCTAGATTATTCAGAACTTTAGGGAGCACAAAACACCTAAGGGAGTTAAATCTTTAAAAATCAACTGAACGTTTTAATCACATACAATTAGTAAATAAATCTCAAGCTTCTAAATGATAAAAATATGTTTTTATCCTACTATTTACTAATATACATCCAATGATATTATTCGATGAATTGAGAGGTTCAAATTTCTTTAAATATTTATTTTGTTGTCAACAGGTCAATGTAGATATTTTATCCAAATTTTATAAAAATTAAACGAACCTAATCTATTTTAGTCAACGCGTTGGGTACTCCCTTTAATCACACACTAGCAGCCATTGTATTAAAGAATTTTCTACTTAGTACTAGTATTACATTTGAATTGTCCAATAACAATCTACCGATCATCTTATTTTTTTTCTTCTCCTAATTTATATAAAAAACTTTTTTTTTCTCAATGTACAGTTAGATAATTGTCATAATTGATACATGAGTATATTTATGATATGGATTATTTTTAACAGTATAACAATTTCTACTCTTGATATAGTATTTTGTCATCTTGTATATTTCTCCAGAGAAACCACCTTTTTTACTAGGTTGTATATGACAGGTAATTTAACCCCTTACAAATGACCTAGAGAAAGAGGGATAAATATCTGAGGACAATAAACTAAAGTCTGGTATACAGTTGTATTATAACAGAATTAGTTTGTGAAGAACATTCTACTTGAACCTTAAGCAACAGTAACAAAGTATCAGGAAATTGTACTGTTTTTGTTTGTTTCCACATCTAGTTTTTGTCGGTGAGGAAGACTTTTTTGTCATGAAAGTATTTTCCCTCCTTCTACAAGAGAACTTACATTTGTATTATTTATATCAAGACTGAATGCACTTTTATCAGCACAGCTTGTATCAACTAAATACTGGTAGAAAAACACCCCACTCTCTTTGTCAAAGAACTGGTCCCAGTAGGCATTAAGGTCCATTCCTTGTTGGTAGTCTATTTCTGGGTTTCCAGCTAATCCATCATGGACCACACCTGGATGAGGCGGACTTGTATCAATAGTTATCTGAAAGGGATAATACACGTTTCATTGCATCATTATTTTAAAGAGAATTCCTATATTTATGTAAATATAAGACATTGAACCTGAGCAGAATTTTATGTTAGATTCTATTTCATCATAACATTCTTATTAAGCTGAACTCTTGATATTTTAGTCATTATATCAACTGGGAAGTGACATGTAACTCTTATGTTTTAATACACATTTTCAGATACGTTTCTAGTATTATGAAATAAAACCACTTTATTCAGGTTTAACAGGTCTTATTTCAACTACATACAGGTATATGGGATAGTTTGGGGGACTTAATAAAGAGTGGCAAAGTTTTGAATTATATTATCTAAATAAATGTGTGGACATCGATATAAAGTGGAAATGGTTGAGCGTTTTTCAAAAAGCAAAACTGAATGATTCATCTAATTTCTAATTGATAAAAATTTCAAAAGGGGATATGATAAAAAGAATTTCTCTTTTGTTAATAAAATTGCCTTGTTATAACCTTCAATTTTACTTAATTTCCATGATTTGGACTGGTAACGTGCACGCAGACAGAAGGATATGAGGTTAGCCAGGAACAGGTAACAACAACAGTTTAGCAAAAAATTATACACATACAGTTTACTATGCGTCCTACGTCGATCGCAAAGAACAAACATTGAGTTTGGAAAAGTTTACAGATTATACCGATTCAGTTTGAAAAGCCTACCAAGAAGAAACGTAAGTTATAACATATTTCTTCCTTGATACTTTTTTTCCCTAATTCACAATTCTATCTTTTCATTTGCAAATACCTTAGCATAACGTTACAATGCATGTGAAAAACCCAACCTTTTTTGTTAAGACTGTTTGCACAAGAGCTTTATTTTTCACTGCAATCTCAATGTAGTAATCTGAGTCATGTTTTCCTCTGTAATGACCGGCTGTCAATCCACCATATACTTTGATTTCTGGTTTCACTTGGAAGTGGCGATGAAAACATCCCATAAAGGGTGTACAATAACAGTTAGGTCCTCTTGGATTACTTAAATATTTGGTTTGACATTCTTGTAGGTCCTTAAAATAGAATAATATGGCACTGTAATCTCCCAATCTAGACATAACATTCTAATGAAAGCCAGCCCTCGAACATCAATAAAAATAAATCCCATAACATTGTTACCCACTTTCGATTTTTCTGATTATTGAACTCATAAAAGGTTTTGAGGCAAAGAGTAAACTTTATTCTAAATATAATCCATTTTGAATAATGCTTTTTCTTTTTTAAATTTTTGTGAAATAGTTTCATCCAATGGTTTGATAAGAGTAGACGCTTTTCATATACTATAAAGGGTAAAAAACAGACTACAGGATAACATCTACATACATGTCTGACATTCTAATAACATTCTTTGTATAAAAAGAACGTACATGTAAACAAACATTAAAGAGAAGGTATCATGAGGTCATAATTTTTTTTGTTTTTCACACTTACATCAGTATGTCCTTGTGCTGCGATATCTTCATGGCCGTGTTCTACAAAAGTCCCATAGTTATCATACAATTTCCAGTAAACAGTATCTAATCCACTGTGATCATCATATGCGTTCCACTCCATCCTGTAAAAACATCTTAAATATTACCTAAAACCATAGGCTGTTTTCTGACTATACAGAAAATATTGTTTGATAGAGTAAAGATTCCAAGGTATGAACTTGTTTTACAATACAAAACAAAATCACAGTTATGTAAAAATCAGTCCTGAATTGTTATAACTGACTATAACATAATGAGTCCATGTCAGACCAAAATAATATTGTCTGTCATGACCATTGAATCATTTCTTTACAAATTTTGTTATATTCAAAGCAGTTGAAAGTTCTCTTTCCAAGAAAGGAAAGTAATAGAACAAACAGCGTATGGCAATTAATACCATCTTAATTTAGTAAGCCCATATGTAGCTTAGAAACAAACATGCTATTCTCTCTTTATTTGACGCACTTATTTAAAGTGTTGAATCTCTTAGTTAAGGCCGGTAATCGAAATATATTTCCTTAGATAGAATTTTCTTATACTTTGCGAAAATGTAGATTTTACCATTCTTTTTTTCAAAAATGAAATAAAAAGTATGGATCACCGTGCTATTTTTCAAGCTACAAGTTCTGAAAAATTACCCAATTTTTCAAAAGATATTTCATGTAAAAACACTTTTCGTGAATAGAAAAAAAATCTATAAAATAGAATTTTGAAATAAAATACGAGAAGATACGTTTCATAATATGCTTTATGAAAATAAAACGAAAAAATGGTGTCACCGATCTTGTTTTCTTGCCAGAAGTAAAAAACGAAAATTTCTTTAACATTCATTTACAGAATTTTTACTATAAGAGTTACCTCCCCTATATAGCTAATTCGAAAATTGATTCGAAAAAAACCAACTATTTGGTATTCGTTAAAACAGTGTTATAACTGCAATAAATCACTTATTTTTCATTATTTGAATAAACAGTCTAATACGTCAACTGTCAATCTGTCTCAACATTTGCAGATTTAAGCACAGAACTAGACCAATTGTTTACTGCTATTTTACAATCATAGATGCCGGTATACAGTTAATCTACCTTCTAATGCCGTATTTAGAAGTAATAAAATCGGTCTTGCATGTAGTGGTAACTTTAATAATCATCTAATTGATCAATTGTTATACTTACGTCATTTCAGAAAAATCTTCAACACTATGAACACTTATATTAACCCAGTCACCTTTGGTCAACCATAAATTTTCTATAATTGGAGGACTGACATCTCTGTACACCAACAAAGATTCCATATTGGATTCTCTAAGGACATCAAAAGCTTGAACTGTTACATTTAACCTATCCCCATCCCCCCAGTCTACTGATAGACTGACTGACTGGTCCTTCAACTGATTAGCAGGAAGGGATGTAAACATCTGAGACTTTTTTAATGTAGGGTCATGAACTTCATAAGCTATTTGGAAATCAACAATACCTGAAATAAATGGCTCAATGTAATTTTATACAATTTCTTATACTTAACGTTTGTATAATAAATTCACATATGTTGTTTCACTCTCATTGTCTCTGAAGTTCACTTAATGTTATTTTAGCAGGTGAAGTCTCTTAAATCAGTGAGTCATACCTCAAGACAAGAGAGCATTGTCTGAAATCTTTAAGGTAATCAACCAGGCCAGAAAATATATTTATGATATCTGGCCTTCTATAGGCAATAATGGAAACTTAGATTCCCTCTGTGAACATTGCATAAAGGGGCAAATGTTTCTCAAAGGTCTCTTAACAAATGTTTTCAAGATTTTGAATTAGATGTTAATCCCTTTTTAACAGCAACAAAAATCAAAGTACAAATAGTTTACGCCGCCGCTGCCGACGGATTGTAAGTCCCATGTCTCGCATTTCGTCGCAGGCGAGACAAAATTTATGTAAAGCATCATTTAATCTGCATTAGAATGTTTTTTGGAGGCCAAAGCATTCAGCATAATGGTTCTTCCTAGTGTCTTCTTTTATCATTTTTCAATTTTGACATTTCTTTCTCGTTAATATTAGAACATGATATGCACATGTGCAACCCATCTCCAACTAAGGGTCAAATGAAAGTTTGCATGAAAATGTACTCAAATGCAGTGAAATTATTGGCTTGCAATACAATAATATGTTAGCGATGTCATGTGCTTGGGCTTATTTTTGCAAAATTGAACTTAAATGGCTGCTAATGGTTAATCATTATTTCAATATTCTGTTTGAATAAGATGAAAATAGTATTTTAATTTTTGTTTAAATCGTAGCTAATGCACCTTAATTTCTTTTTTTAATAATCTATAATTAAAATCAATCAATACATTTACCATACGTATTTTGAATTTCTGCACTTGTTCTGTTTCCATAGATATCTTCATATATTGGATCAGCTCTAGCGGGCAAAGATAGAACAGAATTAAGCCAACTAGTGTCACTATGGTTATGTCGTATATTCTGAAATCTCCCCGGCCAAATTATTTTTACCGAAGGTGTGTCTTCAATTACCCACAGATATGATGTGTCTTTTGAAGCTGTCACACATTTCATATCATCACCATATAACGAAACAACTGATTCATCATCAAAGAAAAAAATTCCTCGACCAGTTTTGGAATTCCCTGCTTTATCAAAAGCTGAAAGATGGATGGTATACACTCCTGGTTCTGTGAGTGTAACTGTAGCCTGTAAAATAAACAATGAAATAGTATTCATAGCAAAGATGGAGGGTATATAGCCCTTGCTCTGGAAATGATAAATATATGACTATATTATTAAATATTTAAAGCATTTATAAAGTTCATTTAACTCCTTAAAAATAATATTTTTATAGATTTGTTTATTAAACACCTTTAAACCAACCATTTGATTGTGTACTTATAATCTCCTAGATGATTTTTTCCCTTTAAATAAGCAAACCAATTTACTCAGCTGTGGTTTTCAGAGAGACGATTTGGTACATATGAATATCGTTGAACTGGATTCCAATTACCAAAAGTATCACCAACAAATTCTAATAAACAAATCCAGATTACCAAATATAAATTTTGTTAAAAATTGGAATATAATGAAACTACTAACAAATGAAAATAAGCCTGGATTCAATATTCTCCCAATTGGTGACAGTATGCGTCATGTTGTCGTCAGATGCCAGTCAGTTGTTATTGTTTTAATGCGTAAAAGCCCTGGGCAGGAAAGGAAAATAATTGTCACCTGATTTTGAAAGGGTTGCTATAGAATTGTTTAGGAATGGAGAAAACATTTAGTACAATATCTGGCATTATCAGAAGATTTCATGACGCTGAGACAATAGAGAATCGTCCGAGATCAGGGAAGCCTCGAGCCATACCGGCAGCTGGAACAAATTGTAAAACAAGATCGAAGAACACCACTTGCCGACATAACTGCGTAGTTTAAAGAACAAAGGGATGTTCAAGTGTCTAAACGTACTGTACGACGACGTTTGAGGGATCATGGATTGTCTCCGGGAGTGTACCGAATTGAGTCGCAAGTGTGTGTCGGACATATAACAGACGCGTATATGTGTGGAAGAAGAGAAGGGGAGGCTGGAGACGGGACTTAGTACAAAGTAGAAGTGACCAAAAATTCAGCGTTATGGTGTGGGAATGTACCTGTAATCAAGATGTTGGAACACTTACGAAGGTTAAGGGATAAATTAATGCAAATAAGTCTATCAACAATCTGGCCCGTTATTGTTAGACACTTCCCTGATAATTTCATCTTTTCCAGGATGACAATGCGCCGGTGGATAGGGTTCGTTCAACAAAAGCTTATATAGCTAAAAATTAGGAGTTTACCAGCACAATCGCCTTATTGGAATATTATTGAAAATGTACTGTTGTATATCAAAAGAAAACTTCAGGTTCGGGTATAAAGAAAAAATCAAACGATGAACTGTACAGGAAAGTTTTTCGGATCTGGCAAAGTATCAATTAAATTACTTTTGAAGTTTGTATGACTCAATTCCTAGAAGAATTCTTCATGTTATTAGATTAAAGGGACACTTCATGAAGTATTAAAGGTAAGGTTTTGTTTTACATTTATATCTTTATCTATTGCATAAAACGAGTTTCATTTATGGTACAGTCGACTGTCAGTTCACAGGGCAGCCATATTTAACGAATACTTTTGGCCACCCTCTGTATGCTCTGTCGGTTATATCCATTTATTTATAAGTTGGAATTAAGTAATTAAGTAATTTTTGACACTCTATTTGACCACAAGATCTGAATTAAATGTTGATTTTCCTAACAAATATTTACTAATTATTTCTAAAAATACTCAGTGCACTAATGTGAAAATATCATTAAGAACCCAGATTTATACTCCTTTATCCCCAAATATTACAATAAAAAAGTGTCACACAGCATCAAAATGCTAAAAGCCACAGAGATTTGTGGAATTATTTGTATGCACTTATCAAAATCATGTAATAGAAAAAAGTGTAGAACCAGTGATCCAGGTTTTGCCCAAATACAAATCTATGGTAATTTTTTTGTTCATATGTATTCTATTCTGTGGAATAAGTAACTCAGGTATATATATATAGCTGCAACAAGTTGATACTTACAGAAGTTGTACCATTAGGTAAAGTACCACTCCCTTTACTACTAGCACCATCCATCAACCCAGCTCCATTGTGAACCAAGTCAAACAGCTGATATTGGAAATGTGATATCCCTGACATTTTATCAGACCATCCGCCCCAGCAAAATGTTATAACTGGCTGAAATTGTATAGCATTAGTTATAAATCATTCATTTCTTCACCTATTTATCTTGATATATTCAATCTTGGGTAAAATGTAAAATTGGTCGTTACGTTTTAGAGATCTAAAAAGTGTTTTAAAGCGGCTCAATTATTATCATAGGTCTTATTAAAGTAAACCACTATTGTGTATTATTTGAGCCAAGTATAATAATAAGAAAATATCATGCAATAGTTTGTCTTTCTCTTATCTAATCTTTCTCTTATCTAATGAATGAACACATTTGCATCTTAACCATGTCCTTGTTTTTATATTGTACTCGGTTTTTGACATTTTCAAATTTAATATTAAAAGATTTTTGATTAATGTTAGCATCCTTAGTAGACCAAGTTTGTAATAACCGTGAAATACTTACATTATTTGTTATATCTGACTGTACAGAAACAAAGGGAGGACAAGCTGTTCCCGACGCCACAGAGCAGTGATATGGTAGTTCTAGGTCCCAATGGTACTCAAAATCTCTAGTGGTTGTCTGTCCTTGATAAAAGTATTGGTTTATGACATCTACATTTCTGTTGAAATGTGCATCACGATCTTGTACCTTAACAAACCCTCCATTTGTTGCAGATACAGTGTATATAACTCTGGAATAAACATAAGTACAGTCAAGAGTCACAGCGCTGAAAAGGGTGTCTAATAGTATGTCTTCAATAAATAATATACAATCCAATTTGTCACTTTTGATAAGCGTCAGAGACAATTTACTTGTCAGAAAGGTAAAAACACTTGTCAAAATTTTTATTATTGACTTAAAAATGCCAAATATTTTCATTTTGAGAAGTATAGTGTTGGTGGTTGGTATGGTTTGTAAATCTGTCCTATAATTTGGGTGATTCCTGTTATCCTTTTTATGTAATATTTCCAGGAGAAAGTTTGTTTTAATTGAATATGCGATCTTTTTAATTTTCTTCTATATACCTGTAGATCATCATAATCAGTTTTTGAAAACAACAGTTGTGATAATAGATAGACTTGATGATTCCTTATTAAACCAACAAAAATAGATAGATATGATTGATGTTCTATAATATATGTAAGCACACTAATCATATTTTGATTATCTAATTTGTAAATATCAAGAAAAATATCCAGCAAGTAGAAATTAAGGGACTAGTAAATATAAATGAATTTTTCGATGTGGTGCATGAGGCCGTATTTTAACAATTGATTAAAAACAAGTGTTCATGAGAGATTCTGCATTTCTATTTAGTTGTATTAGTTATTCTCTACTTGTCCAACTTGACAACTGCTTCGAAGCTCTTGGTTGTCAGATTTTCTGGTTTTAATTTGTCCTGGGCAATCTGACCCCTGTCAATGTCGAACGCTGCTCCTCATTTCTTTTATTTGTATCAGTGTCGTAACAAAAGGTGCTGCATCAAAATTCTTGTGAGCAGTAAACAGGAGGGTGGGGATTCTATCAATTTGCATTGTAAAATTGACATTAAACACTGCAGTGTATTAAAAAAAGATCATAAAATACTAAGGTACACTTAATATTTTGAATAGATTTATTGCATTTGTCAATTAGCTAGTAAGATAAACTCAAAGATTCATGCACAATGATTTACTTTCTGCAACATATGGTTTTTTTTTATAAATAAAATGGTTTCCTTGACAGGCATGTTTGTGAACAGTCACTTTTAGCAAAATGATAAGCCGAGTATAAATAGGTGTTTATTAATTATTTGATATTGGCACTAGTAAACAATGTTTGATCTGAACAATTCTTAAAAGTACAGTCATTTTCAGTGAGCCTGTATCATGATAGCGGGAAGACACCCACAGGGGCAATACCCACATCAAATTTAAGATCAAAACATTATTACATTAACTGATTCAGGCTGTTATTAGAAAATTGATGTAAGAGTGGTTTACACAGTGAATGAGAAGTTAAGGTGATTGGAAGATTATTTTAATACCACCACTTTGTGTAGAGTCCTACCTGTTCTAAGCAAGTTGAATTTTATTCAGAGCAACTAAAACAAAACATCTCCTTTTATAAAGCAATAGGCAAAACCTTTGGTTTTTAAATACTAAACTTTTAACAGTATCTCGTATTTTCCACTGATTATTCGATTTTCGATTCGCACAAGAAACGTTTATGTAAAACATGTTAAGCTAAAATATTCCTGAGAGAAACAAAATGAAATTAGAAAACTAGTAGCAGCTAATCCGAAAAATAAGACATTAATTTGATGTGGCTTAATTGGTAATTTATACAATCCCGTCCCCGTTACCTCGAATGTGACCTACTTAATTAGACTGATCACCGGATGTGTACTTACACGAGCAACACGACGGGTACCACATGTGAAGAAGGGTCTGCTTACCCTCCCGTAGCACATGAGATCACCACCAGTTTTTGGTGGGGTTCGTGTTACTCAGTCTTTAGTTTTCTATAATGGTTTACTTTTACAAATTGTGACTTGGATGGAGAGTTGTCTCATTGGCACTCATACCACATCTTCTTATATCTATTCTATGTTGTGTTTTTGTACGGCTGTTTGTCTTTTTGTCTTTTTCTTTTTAGCCATGGCGTTGTCAATATAAAAAGGAAGATTTGGTATGATTGCCGATGAGACAACTCTCCATAAGAGACCAAATGACACAGAAATTAACAACTATAGGTCACCGTACGGCCTTCAATAAAGAGTAAAGCCCATACCGCACAGTCAGCTATAAAAAACCCCGAAATGACAATGTAAAACAATTCAAACGAGAAAACTAACGGCCTTATTCATGTACAAAAAATGAACAAAAAACAAATATGTAACACATAAACAAACGACAACCACTGAATTACAGGCTCCTGACTTGGGACAGGCACATACATACAGAATGTGGCGGGGTTAAACGTGTTAGCGGGATAACAACCCTCCCCCTAACCTGGGACAGTGGTGTAACAGTACAACATAAGAACGAAATATAAAAATCAGTTGAAAGAGGTTTAACTCATCAGATGGATAAAAATACAAATACTACAACTACAAGTGGACGTGACCGGGTACTTGTACATCTAAACAACAAAAAGACACTAAGTACAGATCTGAGAGTACTCGCAGTTATTGACAGCTAGTTCAAAGCCACTAACAACTAATAAAAAAATCATGCATCTAAGACTAAATTATCAATCCGTACAGATCCTACATCCAATGGATTTAGTGTAAAGACGTCATAAACAGTCAGAGAAAAACATGACCTTGTGCAATGCCAAGATACAGATATCGACAGATTGTAGATCCATGAATGTGTATATGTATATAACAATAATATTTAGTTTGCTTTTAATTTACTGATAAAAAAATCAATATCAGTACCAATAAAAACAATATTTAATGGTATAATTACAGATTGAATTGGTAACCTTTTACAATAAGTAGATTTAAAGGATCGATAAGTTTACCAGTTTATTGTCGACTTATGAGTTTGAATGTCCGTTTGGTATCTTTCGCCTCTCCTCTAAAATATTTCTTCTTTTTGTTTATCATTTTAATTTTTCACCTACCCAATTAAAGTTTTAAGCATTTGATTTTTTTCATACTTTGGTAACGTACTTATCCATATGTTTAAAAGGCAGCCAGCTACTTATGTCAAAGGACTGATTACACATCAGTTTATCAATTGGATCATATTTACTCAGTGGTTGACAAAACTGTTTCCTAGTGTCGATTAATGAACCCCCTGAAAAAGATAAAAATATTGTATACTATACAACTGAAAGATAGGATAACATTTAATATATCGCTTTCTTTTAGTATTCTATTTTCCAGTATGTATAATCAGAAGCTTTAATGGAATTTTAAACATTTTTTTCGTAAAAGTACTTCATGGCTCAAAAACATCTTTTGTAAAACCTGTTATCATTGCACATAATTTGGTACCAAAGCCTTCAATCAAAAATATCATCAAGGAACAGAATATTCAAAAATACTCTTCTTATTCAAGAACTATGTGTATCCAGTATTGTACAATCTTTAATTATTTTCTGAAAAATGAAAGGATTTCAAAAAATTTGGTAATTTATAAAAGTTTGTAAAAGTTTTCAACAAAAATCAATATTCTAATTGCAGAAAATACTAATTAACCATTCTAACTCTAAAGTGAGGGAGGAATGCTGTGAAAATAAGGTACCATACCTCTATATAAAGCCAATGATGTCTTCATCTCTACTAAACCAACTTTAAAATCCCTGACATAATGGTCTCCATCAAGTCCAACATTTGGCTGTAAATATTTAGCTGACATTACAGCCTCAACCAAACTAAACATGATAAAGTTGCTCCAGACAATTGGATGTCCATCTGTGATATAATTTGGGTTATTTGCTATCTTAATCATTTTTTGAGCGCTTTCATAAAATTGACCATGATTCAGCAATATAAGTGGTGCTTCATCAACTGAAAAAGGTGAGAATGACAATTGATAAGGCCAAAGTAAAAATGGGCATTTCCTCCTACTCGACTATCTCTTTTGGATATAGAGAGATATATATGAATTATATCATTGCTAGATAAAATATAAACAATAAGAATAACATAGTCATGGTGTTTTGTTACATCCCCCTTTATATGAACTATATCATTGCTAGATAAAATATTTAACCCTTATTTATGATTAGCCTCTCCTGTATAAATACTGAAAATTCAGAAATTATTGCGAGGTTTTTTATTGATGCTAATCATGAAACTGGGTGAGTATCGCAATAAAAAGAAGACGAATCATAATATCTGATTCATATATCTGTATGCAGCTTCTCCTTCAATTGCAATAATTAATCTCAAATTGTGGTTGGTCTTGTCAAAATCACAATAATAGGTGCTTGTCATAATTTCTGAATTTACAGAATACAATTTCATCTAATGATTTTGTGTCAGCCAAAATTCCTTTATTTGATTAGCATAGCAAGTAACCAGAACCACATGCAAGTACATTGTATCATGTTTTGCTTCCCGATGTTCAAAACAAATATTTATGACAGAATACACTTTCAGTCTGTTACTAGACTTCGTGAAACTATGACTTGGAGCAGAAACCTAAATAACTACTCCTAAAATTACCAAGTTTGAATGATTATATATTTACTTACTATTTTCACAATGTGTACCAGAGAAATTGTCTGCACACTGGCAATGAGCAGCTAATCCATCTACACATGTCCCTGGGTAACACCTGGTACTATCTGTTCTCCAGGAACAGGACTCTGTAAAATAAAATTAACCATAGAATATTCAGTACCTCAAACACATCTTCTTTTTATTGTTTACAGGTGCAGACCACTAAAAAAAAATTTTTTTATAATTCCTAGTTTTGATTTGTATAAGTAAAGATAAGTAAACTCATTATTGATACCAGGCTTAAAATTTTAAACGCCAGACGCGCGTTTCGTCTACAAAAGACACTTTGGTGACGCTCGAATAAAAAAAAAGTTAAAAAGTCCGAATAAAGTATGAAGTTGAAAAGCATTGAAGACCCACAATTACGAATGATTTAGCCCAAGTATACCTAAGGTTATATATTCCTGGATTTGAAAATCCTTAGTATTGTGAAAAATTCAAAGTTTAAAATAATGTCATGTACATATATGGTATCCATGTTGTATAAAGTTTAGATATATTTCATAACAGGATAGCACATCCTCATTTTTACAGAGATGTTGTATACCGAGCCCAGAAATTTAGATATGATCCAGGTAAACTTATCGATCCTTTAAATAAACTTATTCTAAAAGATTACAAATTCAACACTATAATTAGATCTTTGAATATTGTTTTTATTGGTATTAATATTGATTTTGTTATCAGTAAATTGAAATCAAACTAAATATTATTTTTATATACGTATGCACATTCATTGCTCTACAATCTGTTGATACCTGTATCTTGGCATTGCACAAGGTCATGTTTTTCTCTGACTGTTAATGACGCCTTTACACTAAATCAATTGGATGTTGGATGTTGGATCTGTACTGATTGATTTTTTAGTCTTAGATGCATATTTTTTTTTAATTTGTTGTTATTGGCTTTGAACTAGCTGTCAGTAACCGCGAGTACTCTCAGATCTGTACTTAGTGTCTTTTTGTTGTGGAGATGTATAAGTACCTGCCACGTCCACTCTGTGTTTTTGTTACATGTATTTCTGCTTTGAAAGAGGGACGAAAGATACCAGAGGGACAGTCAAACGCATAGATCGAAAACAAACTGACAACGCCATGGCCAAAATTAAAAAGACAAACAGACAAATAATAGTACAGATGACACAACATAGAAAACCAAAGACTAAGCAACACGAACCCCACCAAAAACTGGGGGTGATCTCAGGTGCTCCGGTAGGGTAAGCAGATCCTGCTCCACATGTGGCACCCGTCGTGTTGCTTATGTTATTACAAATCCGGTAAATAGTCTAATTCGGTAAGTCACATTCGTGAAAAGGGAGGGTATTGTAGTTACGACATAAGGAACATATCCGATATCATCTGTGAAATGGTTATTCCATAACGGTCAACCAACTCGTGATGGCGTCCGTAATATTTACGAAGGGATGACTTCAACTTCACCATTTGGAACTCTTGGTTTAATAGCTTCCTTGTGAGCAGCAATCTTCTATCAAGGAAATCATGATAGGAAACACAAGCCCGGGAATATCGTATCTATTGGGAGATATATACTCCGTATGCAGGCGCTGCTGGAATGTTGCTACATAGAAATGGAAAGTTAACAATTGGGAAGCTGAAATCATCTCTTTTGTCGTAAAGTTTTGTTTTCAACCGACCCTCATTGTCAATTTCTAGATGTAAGTCAAGATATGAGGGAGACTTAACTGTATCTGTAGTATCCTTTATCTCTAGTTCGATGGGATAGATTCGTTCAACATAGTCACCAAATTTTGTATTATTTAGTGAGAGAACATCGTCTATACAGCGAAACGTAGAGTTAAAGGATATTGCTAACTTCTTATCTTTCTTCCTAAGAAGTTCCTGTATGAAGTCAGCCTCATAATAATAAAGAAACAAGTCAGCAAGAAGAGGGGCACAATTGGTTCCCATTGGAATTCCGACAGTCTGTTGAAAAACACGTACTCCAAACGTAACAAATATGTTGTAAATCAAGAAATCAAGCATCTTGATAATGTCAGTTTCAGAGAATTTTTTGTTTGAATCAGAGTGATTCTTTATAAAGTAGGATTTATCCCTCCCCAAGACAAGATACTTGTATCTACTTTCGCCATTCTTTTTAATGAAACAAAGTAATACCAACTCTTTCAATTTGTCTTTTAGTTTGGAATGGGGAATACTTGTGTATAGTGTAGAAATGTCAAATGTTTTTATACTATTGCAAGATGAGAGAGTCTTAGATTGTATGTACTCTAAAAGATCTTTGGAATTTTTTGATCTGATGAGTTAAGCCCTTTTCAACTGATTTTTATAGTTCGTTCTTATGTTGTACTGTAACACCACTGTCCAAAATTAGGAGAGGGTTGAATCGCCTTCAAATTAGTTTAACCCCGTCACATTCTGTATGTGACTTTCCCAAGTCAGGATCCTGTAATTCAGTGGTTGTCGTTTGTTGCTGTATATCATATTTATTTTTCGTTCATTATTTTGTACATATAACCGGCCGTTAGTTTTCTCGTTTAGATTGTTTTACATTATTCATTTCGGGGCCTTTTATAGCTGACTATGCGGTATGGGTTTTACTGATTGTTGAAGGCCGTACGTTGACCTATAGTTGTTAATTTCTAAGTCATTTTGTCTCTTGTTGAGAGTTGTCTCATTGGCAATCATACCAAATCTTCTTATTTTTATATTCATCTCTTACTTTGACAAGATTTTCTGCTATCTACCTCTCCAGTATATGCTTTCCAGTATGGACGTTCTGCTATCTCTCCATCACACCAGACACAAAGCAGATTTTGGTTGTTATCAGTACACCTTCTATGCAAGCAGTTATCAATCTTTCCACACACTAAAAGGAGAAAGCATGAAACGCAGGTACACTATTTGACAATCGTTTAATAGATCTTTTTAATAAACTACTATCTATTGTTTAGTGAATTCAATTCAATTCAATTCTGTTGTAGGATAAATCAATCGTTGTAGGATTTTTACTATCATATGTAATCAATTCATTTAATTTATTCAATAAACCCTTAGTCTTAAAGTTGATTAAATTAAGATCGTTTAAGAGGTGATCAAATTAAATCAACTGTTTCGTCAGGTTTTATAGGGTCACGATCGTATCGATCGTATTAAATCGTTACAATCGTTAAAGAGTTGATCGATTCAACCAACTATCTGTTTTACTTTTAAAGGATCGCAATCCAATCGTTACGGTCTTTTTAGAGTTGAGCAATTCAATCAACTACCTGTTCAGGTTTTCATGTGTCACAATCGTATCAATCGTTACGATCGATCGTTTAAGAGTAGATAAATTAAATCAACTATCTCTTCACGTATTATATACACACGATCGTATCAATCGCATTAATCGTTACGGTAGTTCATTAATTGATAAACTTAATCAATTGTCTCTTCTTGTTTTTAAAGGTCACGATAGTATCGATCATATTCAATCGCTGGGAAGGTTTAAGAATTGATCAATTCAAAGAACTTTGTCATCTGGGTTTCAAGGGATTACGATCGTATTGCTCGTATTCAATCGTTTCGATCGGCTAAGACTTGATCAATTCAATCAACTGTTTCATCTGGTTTTTAAGGATCACAATCCTATCACTCTTAAATCACACAAAAAAATCTTTCTTCCTATAAGTAACACCATAACGATCAGGTTAAATCAACGGTTATATAAAGACAAACGAATCTTGTAATATATTTTTTAAAAAGGTACAGGAATACATGTTTGTAAGTAGTAAGTAAAATTGTAACCAAACATTTCTATTGAGTTGACTGAATTAATATTTGTTAACTGTATTTATCATAACGATCGAGGATTTGCAGTTCTAATTGAGTTGCTATTTGATTATCAATCATATCTTTCGTACCGATCGCGATCAAGGGTTTGCTATTCAGATTGAGTTCATTGAATTTATATTTGGTAATCAATCGTGATCAATCGTATCTATCGTAACGATCGATGGTTTGCACTTTTATTGAGTAGATATCTGTTAACATATCGCGATCAATCGTAGGTTTTTCAATTTTAATTGGGTTGATTGTGTTGATATTTGATAATCAATCGTGATCAATCGAATATATCGTAACGACTGAGTGTTTGTAATTTCATTCAGTTGATCAAGTTGATTTTTGGTAGTCAATCGTGACCAGTCGTATCTATTATAACGATCGATTGTTTGGATTTTTTGTTGAGTTGATTGAGTCGATCTGTAGTTATCAATTGTGATCAATCGTATTAAATATTTACCGATTGTTTAACGGCTGATCAATTCAATCAACTGTCTCGTCTGGTGTTCATGGGTATCGATCGTATTTAATCGTTAAGATCTTTTAAGAGTTGATCAGGTACAGTAAAAACCAAATTTCTGTCTTTCTCTTAGTGGCAACATAACGATAAATGTCAATGCATTGGTTATGTGAAGACAAACGAATCTTGTTATATATTTTCAAAAAAGGTACAAGAATGACTTTATGAAAGTGAAATTGTAAAACTGCATTTGCTGCCGAACATCATTGACATGAATGGGTTAATATGTATTAATCAATCTTGTTCAATTGTATCTATCGTACCGATCAAGGGTTTGTTATTTAATTGAGTTGATTGAATTGATATCTGATAACCAATCGAATCTATCGTACCGATTGTGGGTTTGTAATTTTTATTGAGATGATTAAGTTGATATTTGTTATCAATTGTATTTTTTGTAACGATCGATGAGTTGCACTTTTACTGAGTTGATCGAGTTGACATCGGTAATTATATCGTGATCAATCTTATATATCGTAACTATCGTTGACTTAAAATTTCTATTGAGTTGATTGGGTTGATATTTGATAATCAATCGTATCTATCGTCACGGTCGAGGGTTTCCAATTTTTATTGAGTTGATTGAGTTGATTTTTGGTAATCAATCGTTATCAATCGAATCTATCGTCACGGTCGAGGGTTTGCAATTTTTCTTCAGTTGATTGAATTGATTGGTGGTTATCAATTGTGATCAATCGTATCCAAGACAAATATTGAATACACAGTTTCATTTGGACAATTTTAAGTCTCGGTCTATTTCAGAAAATTAATTCTAACATAACTTTTGATTTTTTAACCCTGTATACCAACATTCCCCATGTGAAATTATAAAATTGTTTTGAATAAACATTGAATGACAAAATTTCTTCTTATGTGACGTTTACATTTTCTGACGTCAGACACGCGAAGCAATGAACGTGGTTTTAAATTTGATAGATGCTTTTGTGCTTTTTTGTAAATAATTGTTTCTTTTGATATTGTAACACAGTGATGACTGCTGTACCCATATTTTGACTATTTTATTTATAATGTCTGTTTTGTTCACGTATCGTTGTAAATATAACGGAATTTGATAAGACTGTCGTACAAGTGAGAGGTTTAGCGCTATAAAATCAGGTTCAATCCACCATTTTCTACATTTGAAAATGCCTGTACCAAGTCAGGAATATGACAGTTGTTGTACATTTGTTTGATGTGTTTTGTCATTTGATTTTGCCATGTGATTAGGAATTTTCCGATTGAATTTTCCTCGGAGTTCAGTATTTTTGTGATTTTACTTTTTTTTTGTTTCGTTAAAACTGCAAACATCATTCAAATTCCAACTGTATCTTTTGGTCAGTATAAAACGTTTTCCAGAACCTTTAATACAATGTTATAAGACATATATTGAACTGGACTCCATTACAAACTACAATAAAAAATGCATACTTTGCTCTAAAAGATATTGCAATCCTACTTATATAAAATGAAACATTACTAAAATCCAACAATTGTATCCATAGTTACTGACAAGTACTTACTGTAACAGTATTTATCTCCTCCATAGAAGCCATCGTTACAGCCACTACACACGTCAACAGCAGTACATGTACCGGTACCCTGTCGTATATTTCCTGCTCGTGTGATCTGCACATCATCAGTGTATAGTTTATCACATGCTGCTGGGTTCCCTTTTCGATCACAGTGAGCTTAAAATGATGTGTATATACATACATGAATTTCTTATTACTAATTTTTATTTCAATGGGTAATTGATTATGATATAAAGTACTAATAAATACTCCAATCCAAGCATTTTTTCTATATATATGCAAATTCTGTCATGAATACTGCTTATATATAGTTTTTGTTACAATCAGCAAAATCTATAACTTAAGCATAGATCAGGCCGTCAGTTTTGTCATTTTGAATTGTTTCATATTTTGTTATGTCTGGGTCTTTTAAAGCTTACTGTATGTCCGAGAGAGATGTTTCGATTATTGATCAGAATAGAACATAGATCAATTATCGAACATTTGCAATTAATAGATTATAATTGCAATAATTGCTAATCCAATAAACATGTCAAAGTAAAAATAATGTATAAAATGTTAGTTTTTATGAAAACCAGTTGAAACCTCTATGTAAATATAAGGAATACCTTCAAACGGCTATTTAATATCTATTTAGTGCATATACAATATTGTGATGTACAGTAGTCTGCATTAATAAATTTATATGTTTGGGGAACTAATTCAATAGTATACAATATATGACATTGAACAAGTATTTCATAGGAAAGTGTGGTACTAAATGCTTTGCCTACATTACTTGCATATAAGTAATATCCGATAACCAAAAATCGAATCTGAGCAAGCTGTCTGATTTTTCTGATTAAACAATTATAATTTTCAAGCCGATTCCCAATACTACTTTACAATACTGTAGGGGTATTACTCTTTGTTGAAGGTCATAAAGAGTCATATCGTTGCTAATAGCCTTGTTCTTTTTGGTCTTTGGTGGATAATTGTCTCATTGGAAATCATAACACATTTCATAATTTAAATATGCTTGTTTATTACCCTCCTTGTCAAATTTGTCAATTGCACAAGTTTGCACAATGCTTCCTTGTTTCTATATGAGCCCATAGACGACGGGCAATGTCCTAATTACATCATAGGTCTGTCATGATTTTTAAAATATTTTTTTTGGCTTATCTACAAAATCCAGGAAAAATACATGTTTTATACAAAACTGATCTTAATTTACACAATTTCAAATAACTGGCGTAACGTCCAAAAGTCAATAAAATGTAAGATTCAGAGCCAGATGGAACTACTGGTGTTACAGTTCAAAACTGTTGCTCTATAACACTTACAGTTTAACCATTTGATTCAGAACATTTTAGACACATAGATAAATTAACTTTCTTTTTAGTCAGTAATAACAAAATTTATAGGTTATTTTGTAGAAGTTAAATTAAACATTAGCATTAGTTTTGTTTTCTATGATATTCAATAGTGATATCCGAAATTAGCTTCAGACTCTTATAGCTAGTGCTTATTGATGTATTCTACAGTTTCATACTTACTATAGAATGCAACAATTAGACTATCACTGTGAGAGAAGTCTTGGTGTATTTTACAATTTAATACTTACGACAGCATGCAACAGTCAGACTATCACTGCGAGAGAAGTCGTGTTGCATTCTACAATTTGATACTTACAATTGCATGCAACAGTCAGACTATCGCTGTGAAAGACGTCTTGGTGTATTCTACAATTTAATACTTACGATAACATGCAACAGTCAGACTATCATTGTGAGAGAAGTCTTGGTGTATTCTACAATTTGATACTTACGATCAAATGCAACAGTCAGACTATCGCTGTGAGAGAAGTCGTGATTTGATACTTACGATAGTATGCAACAGTCAGACTATCGCTGTGAGAGAAGTCGTGTCGTATTCTAGAATTTGATACTTACGATAGCATGCAACAGTCAGACTATCGCTGTGAAAGAAGTCTTGGTGTATTCTACAATTTTATACTTACGATAGCATGCAACAGTCAGACTATCATTGTGAGAGAAGTCTTGGTGTATTCTACAATTTGATACTTACTATCAAAGACAACAGTCAGACTATCGCTGTGAGAGAAGTCGTGTTGTATTCTACAATTTCATACTTACGATCAAATGCAACAGTCAGACTATCGCTGTGAGAGAAGTCGTGTTGTATTCTAAAATTTCATACTTACGATCAAATGCAACAGTCAGACTATCGCTGTGAAAGAAGTCTTGGTGTATTCTACAATTTAATACTTACGATAGCATGCAACAGTCAGACTATCATTGTGAGAGAAGTCTTGGTGTATTCTACAATTTGATACTTACTATTAAGACAACAGTCAGACTATCGCTGTGAGAGAAGTCGTGTTGTATTCTACAATTTCATACTTACGAGAAAATGCAATAGTCAGACTATCGCTGTGAGAGAAGTCTTGGTGTATTCTACAATTTGATACTTACGATAGCATGCAACAGTCAAACTATCGCTGTGAGAGAAGTCTTGGTGTATTCTACAATTTTATACTTACGATAGCATGCAACAGTCTGACTCTCACTGTGGGAGAAGTCTTGGTGTATTCTACAATTTGATATTTACGATCACATGCAACAGTCAGACTATCGCTGTGAGAGAAGTCGTGTTGTATTCTGAAGTTTGATACTCACAATCACACGCAACAGTTAGACTCTAACTGTGAGATAAGTTTTGGTGTATTCTACAATTTGTAATTTACGATCACATGCAACAGTCAGACTATCGCTGTGAGAGAAGTCGTGTTGCATTCTACAAGTTGATACTTACGATAGCACGCAACAGTCAGACTATTGCTGTGAGAGAACTATTGGTGTATTCTACAATTTGATACTTTATAATAATAATAATAATAATAATAATAATATCTTTATTTAGAGAGAGTAACTCATTTGGATTACACCAATTTTCAATAAGGCTCTCTTAATACAATAATAATTACATTAAAAATAAACAATACATATTCAATAATAATGATTAATAAAGATGTAATACAACTTAAATACAATAAACAATTATTATATATGGCATTACAGTTCAAATATCATGGTAATGTTAAAAGTACATAGATTTGTAGTTATGTTTAAATTCTAATACTGTGTTTGATTTTTTAATTGAACCAGAAAGAGCATTCCATACTTTTGGTCCATTTTACGAGAAACTAGACTTATACAACTCTGTATTTGGTTTTGGAATTATAAAATTATCTGAGGACGAAAATCTCGTATTGTATTTTTGGTTTGCAGAAGCTGATAAAATAAGACTGGACATATATTCTGGAGCTATGATAGCACGCAACAGTCAAATTATCGCTGTGAGAGAAGTCTTGGTGTATTCTACAATTTGATACTTACTATGACATGCCACAGTCAGACTATCACTGTGGAAGAAGTCTTGATGTATTCTACAATTTGATACTACCGATCACATGCAACAGTCAGACTTTGGCTGTGAGAGAAGTCGTGCTGTATTCTGCAGTTTGATACTTACGATCACATGCAACAGTCAGACTATTACTGTGAGAGAAGTCTTGGTGTATTCTACAATTTGATACTTACGATAGCATGCAACAGTCTGACTATCGTTGTGAGAGAACTCTTGGTGTATTCTACAATTTGATACTTATGATCACATGCAACAGTAAGACTATCGCTGTGGGAGAAGTCTTGATGTATTCTACAATTTGATACTTACGATGACATGCAACAGTCAGACTACCACTGTGGAAGAAGTCTTGGTGTATTCTATAATTTGAAACTTACGGTAGCATGCGACAGTCAGACTATCGCTGTGAGAGAAGTCTTGACATATTCTACAATTTGATATTTACGATCACATGCAACAGTCAGACTATCGCTGTGAGAGAAGTCGTGATAAATTCTTAAGTTTGATACTAACAATCACACGCAACAGTCAGACTCTCACTGTGAGATAAGTCTTGATGTATTCTACAATTTAATATTTACGATCACAAGCAACAGTCAGATTATCGCTGTGAGAGAAGTCGTGTTGTATTCTACAATTTGATACTTATGATAGCATGCAACAGTCTGACAATCGCTGTGAGAGAAGTCTTGGTGTATTCTACAATTTGATACTTACGATCACATGCAACAGTCAGACTACCACTGTGGAAGAAGTCTTGGTGTATTCTATAATTTGAAACTTACGGTAGCATGCGACAGTCAGACTATCGCTGTGAGAGAAGTCTTGGCATATTCTACAATTTGATATTTACGATCACATGCAACAGTCAGACTATCGCTGTGAGAGAAGTCGTGTTAAATTCTTAAGTTTGATACTAACAATCACACGCAACAGTCAGACTCTCACTGTGAGATAAGTCTTGATGTATTCTACAATTTAATATTTACGATCACAAGCAACAGTCACACTATCGCTGTGAGAGAAGTCGTGTTGTATCATACAATTTAATACTTACGATAGCATGCAACAGTCTGACTATCGCTGTGAGAGAATTCTTGGTGTATTCTACAAATTGATCCTTACGATCACATGAAACAGTCAGACTATCGCTGTGAGAGAAGTCGTGTTGTATTATACAATTTGATACTTACGTGATAGCATCCGACAGTTAGAGTCTCACTGTGACAGAAGTTGTGTTGTGTTCTACAATTTGATATTTACGATCACACGCAACAGTCAGACTATCGCTGTGAGAGAAGTCGTGATTTGATACTTACGATAGTATGCAATACTCAGATTATCGCTGTGAGACAAGTCGTGTTGTATCATACAATTTAATACTTACGATAGCATGCAACAGTCTGACTATCGCTATGAGAGAATTCTTGGTATATTCTACAATTTGATATTTACGATCACATGCAACAGTCAGACTATTGCTGTGAGAGCAGTCGTGTTGTATTCTGCAGTTTCATACTAACGATCACACGCAACAGTCAGACTATCGCTGTGAGAGAAGTCGTGATTTGATACTTACGATAGTTTGCAACAGTCAAATTATAGCTGTGAGAAAAGTCGTGTTGTATTCTTCAATTTGATACTTACGATGGCGTTCAACAGTCAGACTATCGCTGTGAATAAAATCTTGGTATACTCTACTTTTTGATACTTATGATAGCACGCAACAGTCAAACTATCGCTGTGAGAGAAGTCTTGGTGCATTCTACAATTTGATACTGATGATAGCACGCAACAGTCAGACTATCGCTGTGTGAGAACTCTTGGTGTATTCTACAATTTGATACTTTTGATAGCACGCAACAGTCAGACTATCGCTGTGAGAGAAGTCTTGGTGTATTCTACAATATGATACTTACGATTACATGCAACCGTCAGACTATCACTGTGGGAGAAGTCTTGGTGTATTCTACAATTTGAAACTTACGATCACATGCAACAGTCAGACTATGGCTGTGAGAGAAGTCGTGTTATATTCTGCAGTTTGATACGTACGATCACATGCAACAGTCAGACTATTGCTGTGAGAGAAGTCGTGTTGTATTCTGCAGTTTGATACTGACGATCACATGTAATAGTCAGACTATTGCTGTGAGAGAAGTCTTGGTTTATTCTAATATTTGATACTTGTGATAGCACGCAAAAGCCAGACTATCGCTGTGAGAAACGTCTTGGTGTTTTCTACAATTTTATACTGATGAAAGCACGCAACAGTCAGACTATCGCTGTGAGAGAAGTCTTGGTTTATTCTACAATTTGATACTTACGATTACATGCAACCGTCAGACTATCACTGTGGGAGAAGTCTTGGTGTATTCTACAATTTGAAACTTACGATCACATGCAACAGTCAGACTATGGCTGTGAGAGAAGTCGTGTTATATTCTGCAGTTTGATACGTACGATCACATGCAACAGTCAGACTATGGCTGTGAGAGAAGTCGTGTTGTATCCTGCAGTTTGATAGTGACGATCACATGTAATAGTCAGACTATTGCTGTGAGAGAAGTCATGGTTAATTCTACAATTTCATACTTGTGATAGCACGCAAAAGTCAGACTATCGCTGTGAGAAACGTCTTGGTGTATTCAACAATTTCATACTTATGAAAGCACGCAACAGTCAGACTATCTCTGTGAGAGAAGTCTTGGTTTTTTCTACAATTTGATACTTATGATAGCATGCAACAGTCAGATCATACTATCGCTGTGAGAGAAGTCGTGCTGTATTCTACAATGTGATACTTAAGATCATATACAACAGTCAGACTTTGGCTGTGAGAGAAGTCGTGTTGTATTCTGTAGTTTAATACTTACGATCACATGCAACAGTCCGACTATTGCTGTGAGAGAAGTCCTGTTGTATTATAAAATTTGATACTTACGTGATCAAATAAATAAATTATTGGTCAAGGCAAGATGTCAGTAGCTACCAGAAAAGACAGTCAGACTATCGCTGTAAGAGAAGTCTTGGTGTATTCTACAATTTGATACTTTCTTATGCAATTTGATACTTACGGTAGCATGCAACAGTCTGACTATCACTGTGAAAGAAGTCTTGGTGTTTTATACAATTTGATACTTCTAATCACATGCAACAGTCAGACTATCGCTGTGAGAGAAGTCGTGTTGTATTATACAATCTGATACTTACGATAGCATGCAACAGTCTGACTATCGCTGTGAGAGAAGTCTTGTTATATTCTACAATTTGATACTTACGATCACATGCAACAGTCAGACTATCGCTGTGAGAGAAGTCTTGTTGTATTCTACAATTTGATACTTATGATAGCATGCAACAGTCAGACTATCGCTGTGAGAGAAGTCTTGTTGTATTCTACAATTTGATACTACCGATCACATGCAACAGTCAGACTATCGCTGTGAGAGAAGTCTTGTTATATTCTACAATTTGATACTAACGATCACATGCAACAGTCAGACTATCGCTGTGAGAGAAGTCTTGTTGTATTCTACAATTTGATACTTATGATAGCATGCAACAATCAGACTATCGCTGTGAGAGAAGTCGTTTTGTATTCTACAATTTGATACTTATGATAGCATGCGACAGTCAGATTATCGCTGTGAGAGAAGTCTTGGTGTATGATACAATTTGATACTTACGATAGCATGCGACAGTCAGACTATCGCTGTTAGAGAAGCCGTGTTGTACATGTATTATACAATTTGATACTTACGATCACATGCAACAGTCAGACTATCGATGTGAGAGAAGTCGTGTTGTATTCTACAATTTGATACTAACGATCACGCGCAACAGTCAGACTATCGCTGTGAGAGAAGTCGTGATTTGTTACTTACGATCACATGCAACAGTCAGACTATCGCTATGAGAGAAGTCGTGATTTACTGCATGGCACCCAGCAGGACAATTCAAAGGACCACAATTCCAGTTCAACATATACTGTCTCTGTAAATACGATAAAAGGTCCATCTTAATAATTCTATAGATTAGGTGCATGGACTAGGCGGGATGCCAGTAAGTATCAGGACAGACACATTATTGGACAAGGCGTAATGCCAGCCAGTAACAATCAGGACAAACTAATTATTTGACAGTAACTACCAAGAAAGACAATTTATTGGGTAAGGCGGATGTCAGTAATTATCATTAGAAACAAATTGTTGGACAAGAGATGTCAGTAACTACCAAGTAAAATAAATTATTGGTCAAGGCGAGATGTCAGTAGCTACCAGAAAAGACAAATTATTGGAGAAGGCGGATTTCAGTAACTACCAAGTAAGACAAACTATTAGACAAGGCGATATTGTCAGAAACTACCAAGAAAAATAAATAATTGGACATAGCGAGATGTCAAAAACTACCATGAAAAATAAAAAAAATTGACAAGGCGAGATGTTAGTTTCTACAAGGAAAGACAAATAATTAGACAAGGCGAGAGGTCAATAACTACCAAGAAAGACAAACTATTGGACAAGCGAGATGTCAGTAACTACCAAGACAGATAAATAATTGGACAAGGCAGGACGTCAGTATCTACCAGGAAAGACAAATAATTGGACAAGGCGAAAGGTCAGTTACATGTACTAGCAGGACAGACAAATTATTGGACAAGGCGAGATGTCAGTAATTATCAACAAAGAAAAATAATTGGACAAGGTGATATGTCAGTAACTATCAGGAAACACAAATTTTTGGAGAAGGTGAGATCTCAGAAAAACTATTCGACAAGGCGAGATGTCAGTAACTATCCGGAAAGAAAAGTAATTGGACAACGCAAGGTATCAGTAACTACCAGGAAGGACAAATTTTTCGACAAGGGGAGATGTCAGCAAGTATCCTAAAACAATAACTGACAACTCTCATTACTTGTGACAGACATTTTAACATATTATGAGTTCATATAGCAATGTATCATGAATGAATATACGTATGCATACATTTTTATATATGGATGGATGGGTAAACGGTTACATGGATGGGTGGATCGCTTTATTGATGAATGGATGCATGCTTACATGTACGTTACTCATACAAATGGGTGGATGATAAGTGCATTCGTGTATGTATGTATGGATGGATCGGTGGATTGATGGATAGGTGAATAGATGAATGCCTGATAATTAAAAATAAGATTAGAAAACAAGTTTTTATCAGTGTTTGGAAGAGGTTTACAGAGTAGAGAATAATTGGAAAGAAAAAGAGAAAACGGGGGGAATAAAAAAGAGAGAAATATGGGGCATGATTATAAAGAATAGTTACATGTAATGAATGGCTCCTAAATTTTAATGAATAGAAAATAATGGACAGGAAATAGAGAATAAAGGGAAAAAATAAAAATAGGGAATGAGACTAGGGTATAAAGGAGTCCTACGATATCGTAAAGAACAGAGAATAATGGGCAAGAAATAGAGAATAAAGGGCCAAATATATAAAGAACAAATAATAGGAAATACTGGTAATGGGGTTCTAAAATTTGAAGACTAGAGAAAAATGAACACAAAAGAAATTGAAGAATAGAAAAAATGGCAAAATATTTAAAGAATACAGAATAAAAGAGCAATCCAGACCCTTCTTTATACGTACGGATGCGTCTGTATTTGGTTCATATGTCTCCAATAATTCTTCCCAGGAACATCCTTCACGACACTCTTCAGACAGTCCTCTCTTCTCCCTGTGATGTAGGAAATCTAATGCTTCTTTTTTCTCCACTATTATTCCAGAACGTTGTGGTCTTTTAAAGCTCTGCTTCAGGGCTTCGTTATCATCTAAAATATTTTGCATACACTGTAAAAATTGTGCTTAGAATTTAAACGTGTTGAAAGACTTATGTGCTTAGGAAAGTGTTTAATTTCTAAACATAAAAACATAAATATGTTTTGGCTCTCAGCACTTCGCAATAAACATGTTTTGGATCTCAGCACTTTTCAATAAACATGTTACTGTGCTAAACATGTTTAGCTACTTTGTCAAGTATATAAAGCTAAACGTGTTTAAATTCTAAGCACTTTCAATATTTAGACACTTTCCTAAACACGTTTAGAATTACAACACATTTAGGCCGAATACAGCATTCATATCACGTGCTAATTTTTAGCGGGAAGAAGAAAAGAACCCGAAGTCAAAGGCCACGCTGTTTACTTCTGACCATAACTGACCGTAACTTGACTGTTTCAGAAAGGTAAGGAGTTATGATTATACTGTCTTTTATTTTGTACTGCCAATTTTAAATGATAATTGACAGTTATAAGCATTATTTACAAGTACACTACCGTATAGTCAATGCATGAGAGAAAAGGGGGTACCATCCCACGAAACAAGTGCTTGTAAGAGCTTTAAGTGTTCAAACTATCTTGTGTATAGATGATAAGAGTTGTTTAATGTTCTATCATGCAAGTTTGCATTTATTTTCTTATTTATATATGTTCTTGGAAAGGAGTTTGTGAGGATAATTTTCGTTCGGTACTCCTCGGCAGATTATAATGGAACATGAAGGGTAGCGGAATCTGCCGAGTCTTATCAGGATGAGGTGCATCATTCGCAAATCCAGTGTCATATCGAGTTCATTGTTTTCGTAAGCACTTCCGATATGCACAATCAACATTTCCTCAAAATAAATAGAAAGATGCTTGTTTATTTCAATAGTTATAAGCAGTTGTGATTTTTTTTATAATTTTATTAATATGTATTGTTTTATTCTAGATGAGAGAAGTGCAGAGGAAATCATCATCTGTCTTGGCATGCTAAAAGAGGAGATAAAGAACAGTAGCAAATATGCTGCTAGGTAAGAATCAAAAGTGTATTTGATTTTAAAAATGCCAATATATATTTGATCAAATGAATAATATTAAGCATGAAAAGAAGTTTTATATTAAAAAATATCAATTGATTCATCAGAAAATTTATGTTTTTATACCACGGTCCTAATGTTGTTATCTGGATCTTAAATCATGCTTTTACTTTTTGGAGTTGTAGTTCGTATTCTAATATTTTTAGATTAATTTTACTTAGTTGCTTATCAATATTTTTCTATATTTCAGGCCATTGACCAGCAGTTGGGTACTAAGAAAGGAGAAGCTCTTATTGACCTGTAAAATGAAAACAGGACATTTTCAAATTGTTTTGTTGTAGGGATGGGGTACAAGTAGAAGATTGGTCAATATTATGTACATGTACCTTGATATGAATTTATTTTTGATTGTGTTCAATGATAAACTGGAAATAAATGATAACATAAAATTCTTTTGTTTTATATGTTGTAATTTTGTTTTTAAAGCTAGAATTAGTATAATGATAATTTCATTTCAAAAGTTCTAGACTGTTTTATGAATATTTGAAATGAAGAAAAAATTCAATAGTCGAATGACGTGAAATGAATTAAAGAAAAAACTCATTGAGATTGAAAATGTATTGGTCACATTCAATTTGATATGGAAATTCCAGTTTCTTAGTTTGATGCATTGGCTCCTTTTTGTGATGGTATGAAAACCTGTTTTATTGAGAGCTATCATACGTTTTACAGTCAAGACTTCCGGAATATTAGTTTAATTGGGGCCTAATGAAGTAACGGCTTCTCACAATAAAATGATAAACATGTTTCTTCACGACCCTTTATGGTCTAAACATGTTTACATTCAAAACACTTCACAGCTAAACGTGTTTCCAGACAAAACACTTCTCAGCTAAACATGTTTCCAGATACAACAATTCACAGCTAAACATGTTTACAGTCTAAGCACTTTTTAGCTAAACGTGTTTCTAGTCTAAACGCTTTACAGCTAAACATGTTTACAGTCTAAGCACTTTATACCTTGGCACGTTTAGGCTGTGAGCACATTAAATATTAAACATGTTTAGATTTAAAACATGTCAAAAATCGGTTTCATAAATGTGTTTAGGAAAGTGTTTAGGCTCTAAACACATTTTTTAGAGTGTATGAAGGTTATTTAAATGTGAAAATATCAAAGTATATTTTTACAGTTGACTTTTATTGTAATACAGAATGAAATTGTGGTGAAGAAATGCTATTCATTTGATTGTTACTATATATATAGGATCTGAAGGACGGACAGAAAGGCAGTTTCTACAAAGCAAACAGGACGTTAAGCAACCAGCAACCAAATCAAACAAATTAAATAAGATATCTCATAAAGTATACAAAATATCTTACATACTTTATAAAATATCTTATTAACTTTATGAGATATCTTGAAATTTAATAAATATGAAAACGGCTTACCATGTACATACGTAATTGACTTTAATTTACTTACATCATATTGGTTTAGATAGAGATAGTTTGATAGAATTAACTTGGCCTCGGCTTTCCCTATGGATTCAATGTTACTGAATGAACATGTTATTTAACATGCATTTAAAGTGATTTAAGAGCATTTTGTTTAATAGCATACACCGTATTTAACATGATCAACAGTGTGCGTTTATTCATAAGTCCGTAAAAAAGCTATAATCGAACCACTCGAGAACAAAATAAATGTTAATATCTCCTCAATAAGATCTTTTATCTTGGCACTTATTCAAACTAATAACTTGTTATATGGTAAGACTTGGCACTGTTTAAACAGTCTTTTCGTATTCTAGATTTCTTACTTTTCTCTATTTAAATATTTTACTTCTTGCGATAGATGAAACAGTCTTGTTTTGGCCGATGTCGGTTGCCTTGTTTTTTTAAATCTCGCTCTTTGCCAATCTTGTTTTTTTGCTGTCTCCTCTTGGAATTGTCTCTTTTATTGGCTGATACGTTTCCGGACTTTCTTGTTTAACCTTTTTTTCTTCTTGGATTGTATCGTTTTTGGGCATTCCCCCATTTTTGTTCTATTCTAGTTTTGGAATTGTCTCATTTTTGGGGGGTTTTCTCGTTTTGGGATTGTCTCGTGTTTGGGGCTGTTAAGTTTTCAGAGTGTTTCGAGTTGTCTAAGAAGTTCATTTACAGTGATCGCTAGCCTGTAAACTCTAAGTTGTGAGTTAGAACCCCGCTCGTTTGTCCCCGACATATCAAATGACAAGGATTTTCACTTTTCCTTTCGTGGGTCGGTGGTTATATCACGGTTGGGTGGGGGGTCTCAACATGGGATTTTGGGTACATATATGCGGATGGGATTTCAAAAAACATATCTTATATATTGAAATCTTGTGAAAATCACGACCCATAAATAAATATTTATATATATATATATATTATTCGAAAATGACAAGTTCCTTGGTACAGTAATGTATATTTGAAGAATAATAATGAGTATGTGTGTGTGTATATGTGTGCGCGCTTGTGTGTTACAATGAATTTGTAGAATCAGGGATTTTGAAAAATTCCTATTTCAGGAGTTTTGTAAAATCACTGAACTGATAAGTAATTGTAAAAGCCCTGATTTTTTCTAGGGATTTTACAAAATCCCTGAAATAGTTATGATTACTTTTTACAGCTTGACTGGATTAATTTAGGGATTTTGTAAAATACAAATAATCGATCTTTTTGATTAGATAATTTATTGAGAAAAGAATAAAGCTTCTGCAACAGTAACACTGGAAAGTTTAGTTTTGGGGTTAATGTAATTTCTCCCATTTGATTAACCCAAGGTGAGCAGTTTTCGGAAAATAACTGAGGGAAAATTATAATGTCATATATTGAAACGTATAAAACATGGAGAAACATATTACTAAAAACCCACAAAATAGACAAAACACGCTCATATTACAACCATGCAAAATACATCATGCACTATGCGGTGTTGGTTTTGCTCATTGTTGGCGGCCGTATGCTGAGCTAGAGTTGTTAACCTCTACATATAAGTCATTTGGTCTCTGGCAGATTATAGTCTCATTGGCAATCATACCACATCTATGTGTGGCTGAGCGTTGCTTTACAATAAATCTAAAAAAAAATCTAAAATCTACTTATTTTTTTTTTATAAAAGTAGGTCACATTGAACATATTTTCCATGCTTCACTAAAGCTTTCTTTGGTTATAACTTAGATACTGTGATATACACCAATGCGATCACATAGAAATAACTATTTTTCTATGCTTTCTATATAATAAAAAAAAGGTTTTATTCATGTCACAGTATTAAGTTCTTCAACGTAGAGATGTAAAAAAAACAGGTGTGCCGGTGGAAAAGCAGAGCGAAAAAATAAGTAAATTGTAGTTTTTATTTCTATACGTATGCCTTTTGTTCATAGACACTTTAAATAGTGTAAACTAGTAATGTCTATTAGATAAATATATTTAAAAAGTTATGGTCTAGCTATAATAATAAGAATACATTTCAGGTATTTAGATTAAACTTGTATTTAGATGCTGATAATGAATGGCTGCTTAACGTCCAGCGGCAAATTAATATGCATACTTAGGATGAGAACATGTTAATGTAATATGAATATTGACCCGGCTTTGTACTAGACCGACTTTTTAACGTGCTAGTTTACAAGGTAACAGTCCGCAGGAAGATATATCAGCTTACCCGGACACAGTAATCTGACTCCGAGCCGACCAGTCTTTGCTCTTACTCTTTAATGCTGCGTGCTTAGCGGAGAGGCAGAAAAAAAATACCGATTTTAAAGTCTTTGTTTGACACGGCCAGTTAATCTTATTTATTTATGTTTTTTATTTTGTTAGTATTTTATGATCTTTCAGTGATTCGTGGTTCCCCCTTTCAATGCACATAGAGGTGTGTGCCGCATGAGCATTGACAATGGAGGTTCAGAAATCAAAATTTGCATTCATTATATGTGCATGCCTTTTTATTTCCATTTATTATTATTTACCTGAAACTGCATGATTTTTTATATGATAGTCGTCCAAAGAGCTCATCAGAGCTCATGTTTTTTATGTTATTGTGTATATATATGCCGACTTTAAATAAAATTTACTTACTTACTTACTTCTAATCTACGACCTCCCGCACTCGAGGCGAACACGCTACCACAAGACCACCGAGGAATTAGGGATCTCAGCAATATTTTCAGTGATTTTATGAAATTCCTAACAATTTCAGTGATTTTTACAAAATCACTGAAACTGTAAGGGATTATACAAAATCACTGATAATTTCAGGGGTTCTACAAATTTACTGTAACATATATATATTTTGTCTCAAATTTAGCCCAACAATATTAGATCTGAAATTTGAAACGAATATATATATATATATATACAAGTCTAAATTGAAAACAACGCTCAAACCTATGACTGCGTTGGATAAAAACAGCAATTTTTATACGTGTGCATGCAAAACAAATTTCTTGTTAGAGGGGTCTAAATACAGCACAAACAAAAATTTTCCAAAAGACCAAAAAAGTGAAAAAGTATATTTTAACAAAACGCATTTGACTAACAGGTCGAACAATTAATGTTCTTAAACCCTGCTGACTGCCATTGGCGATTGCCAAATAAACGTATCACAAGGTGTAATAAATGGACCTTAATTATAAATTTAATACTAAACAGAAAACAATAAACTTGCGGAAAATATATATATATCGTGTATATTATGGTGTTAGCCGGCTGTGTAACCACGGGTTATTCAATGGAGCATGTCTGCCATAAAGTTGTCACATGTTTAGACGTATATATATTTATTTTTTTTCAAGATTAAAGTCCAATGATTTCAGAACTTCAAAAGATTAATGTTCCTCTAATTTCGGACTCCTGAAAAAGTTATGACAAATGTTCTTAAACCCTGCTGACTGCCATTGGCGATTGCCAAAGAAACGGATCACCGATGTAATAAATGGATCTTAATTGTAAATTTAATACTAAACAGAAAACAAAAAACTTGCGGAAAATATATATATATCATGTATATTATGGTGTTAGCCGGCTGTATAACCACGGGTTATCCAATGGAGCATGTCTGCCATAAAGTTGTCACATGTTTAGACGTATATATATTTATTTTTTGTATTTCAAGATTAAAGTCCAATGATTTCAGAACTTCAAAAGATTAATGTTCCTCTAATTTCGGACTCCTGAAAAAGTTATGACCATTGATTTCCTTACAAATGGATTATATTGTTTCCTGACTGATATTGATATATGTACAACAACTATCTATTTTGTAACGACGTTTCGCTTGGTATTAAAATTTATAACATGATCCGAATGAATGCGAAAAAGCTTTAGACAAATAAAGGATTTACACGGCAGTATGTATGGTTGATTTCTTAAAACAAGGTAATATATTTAATATAAAATGAGAAGTATCAACCTAC